ATGAAGAGAGCTGAAGCCTGACAACATCTGGGAAGACAAAATTCCCCACCCCTCAGCTAGACCTGGCTGCTAAGCAAACCTTAACACAGCAGGCAAAATGGCTTCAGTTCTAGCCACACAAAGGAGTCACACGGAGCTCAGCAGCACTTACTTCAGAGTAACCATTTTTGGAATTGGCTTGTTAGCATTGAGTGTCACATGTGGATCCATATTTTCTAACCATGTCCCAGACCAGACCTTCCGCTCAAACATCTTTAACACGCACGCTGATCATAATCTTTCTCCTATGACGTGAAACGAGGAAGCCAAAACATTTCACAATCACTTTGGATTCAGCTAACATTATGTGAGTAACATTGAGCAAAACATCCAACACACCCTATGACACATCAAATAATACGGCTAAGCCAATATTAGCAAGAATTTTCAGAAACTATTTTAAATATGCTTTTAGCTCATGGATGGCTTTAGCACTTAACTGTCAAGAAAGCGGGACTTTCCAAATGCTGTTTCCCAGGGCATTATTAATTGCAGAGTGTTACATGCAATCCCAATTATATTTCCTCAAGCTAGCACGTATTGCAGGGAAATCACAGCACTCAAATCGTAAATTTGGGGATCTTTATTCCCAGAACTGCATCCTTTTTTAAATCCAGTGCATCTTGTATCTTAGTATGTGGGAACACTTACACAGCCCTTTAAAAACACAGTAAGCTACATACTCAACCCCTACCCAACACAAATTGGCCACATCCACTTTTACACTTGAGCCATGCCTACTCTGAAATTTTGGCCACACCAATTTTGACATGAGAGAGTCACATCTGGGTTTGGGTTCAGAGAACTTTAGCATGATGTGAAAGATAATTAAAGCAGATTTTAAAAGAATCTGATTAGCTTTCAGTGCTAACCCAGGTTTGGGGCAAGTACTCTTTGATGGGAGAACCCCAACAGATATAAAACCCCAAAATATGCAGATGATAAAGCATGGAAATATAGACGTTTAAAATATCCCTTACTAAGTTGTTTGCACACATTTGGTTTACTTATAAACTATTCAAAGGTCAGATTCATGTGCTTTCCCATACAGCAGCAAGGAAACGCAGGCAGTACAAGTTATTTCTAAATTATTTTTATAGAACAGGGATGTCTGGCAGTTTTGATCCCAGGAGGTTCTGGCAGACCTTGGTTGACCGCGGGCTCCTCTTCCTTTTTGGAGGCATAAAATGGAGTTTTCGCTGTGAGGTAGCGATCTTTTGGTGAGCAACTTTCCCCCTTTCCCATCCGTAAAAAAAAGCTCAACAAACTTGACCAGAACCCCCCCCCACAAGGGGTGGATCACTGCCATTTTTTAATTCTGTGAGTAGATCGCAGTCTCTTGGGAGTTGGACGTCCCTGGTATAGAAGAACTGTTCTTGCAACCCAGGCCCCTGCAGAGCTTGTCTGAGGCCCAGGACCAGAGTCTTTTTATTGGCAAGGCAGCGCAAGTCCTAATAGGGCACTAAGCCAGCTTAGACCTCTGAGGCCTGGGGCAAGGGTACCTGGATGCTCCCCCTTCATGGGCAACCATCCCAGACTAATCTGCTGGGTACAGCGAAGATTCAGACATGTGGATTCACTGTCTATTGCTAAAGATTTCAGAGTAAATAATTTGTTATGAGACCAAAACCAAATCAGATAGAATGTAATTACTTATTTGAAAACTACATATAATTTCACATTGTGGTACGCTAGCTAAGGAATGTTTTGGGGATTCCCCCCCCCCCCCAGGGCCAATGTTCTTCTGAAATTAGCTGGAAGTGGAACTAAAATGGGATTTCCACATGACACTAAATATAGCACTATGTGCCTCACAACACTCCTTCAATACTTGCAGGATCTTAAATATGCATACTCAAAAGTACGGTAAGTTTCATTTAGTTCAGTCAGCAAAGATTCCTGCCCCCCACCCTAGCTTTATTTTAAAGAGGCTTCTCTCATACTGGCCCTTTAATTACCGTATTTTTCGCTCTATAGGATGCACTTTTTCCCCTCCAAAAATTAAGGGGAAATGTGTTTGCGTCCTATGGAGCGAATGCAGGCTCCTTGGCTTCAGCGATAGCAACGCGAAGCCTCCAAAGCGCAGGGGGAGCGCTCCTTCCACGCTCCGGAGGCTTCGTGTTGCTTTTGCTGAAGTCTGGAGAGCGAGAGGGGTCGGTGCACACCAACCCCTCTCGCTCTCCAGGCTTCAGGGATAGCCGCCTTAAGCCTTCGGAGCGCAGCGCAAGTTCCCGCTGCATTCCGGAGGCTTCAGGTTCCTTTCGCTAAAGCCAGGAGAGTCTTGCTCTCCCAGCTTCAGCAAAAGGAACCCGAAGCCTGCGGAGCACAGCGGGAACTCATGCTGCGCTCCGAAGGCTTCAGGGATCTTTGAGACTGGCAGTGGGGGAAGCAGCGCTTCCCCCCACTGCCAGCCCCACAAGCTCAGGGAGTGCTAAGCAGAGAGGGGGAGATTTTTTTTTTTCTTGTTCTCCCCCTCTAAAACAAGGTGCGCCCTATAGAGCGAAAAATACGGTAGTGTATATCTGCTGTCAGCAGGAGGAAACATAGATCTTACTTGGTTACCTGAACTAAGCTGCCATGTCATTTCCATATTATTCTTACCATTTAGCATAACAGAACAAGCAGATCTGTGGACACAGATAATGCAATGTGCCACAGAAAGACAGCATTAGGACTGAGATGCAACCTGCCAGCGCTATGTTACAGCTAAGAAAGACGTATAGCAGCTCAGACTCAGATTTATTTCCCTGTGGACTGAACAAAATAACTAATTTTTTTAAAGGGGGATCTACGACAAAATGTTGCAAGATGGAGTGCTCCATTTTGGGTTCCAGCCAGCCGTGCCCTCTCGCATGATACTCCCTTGCGTTCCATCTCCCACCCAGTTCCCCAAGCAGTCAACGCTCTGTAGCCAGGGCATACTCAGTCCTCACTGGGCTGTTTCGGGAGTCTCACTTTATGTTTTCCCCCATATAGTTTCTTTTCATTATTATTTCTGCAAACTTTGAGGTTCCTCCAAGCCTGCTGACACCACCTTCTGGTCCAAGGTCAGTGCTGTGTGGACTAAGATGAGGACGCTCGCTCATCTTTCTCAAAACCTCGGAAATAGAGGGGATGCTGAACATTCAGTGTTTTACATGACAACTTTAATATGGAAAGCCAAGGTGACTCTAATAAGACAGTTGCGCACAACGAAAGGCAAAATGATCTTTTTGAGCAGAAATCATGCCCTGCTAATTATACTGAGGGACAGACAAAGAACTTTCCAGTCCTAAAAATGCCATACAAATAGGCAGAAATGGTTCTGATGTTTGAGTGGTGTTATGTGATTTCTAACCTGCAAGAAGAGAGAGAGAACACTCTATCAAGAAATGGAAATAAACAGGGGAGCAGAAATGTCACAACCATCAAACGATTTCCCAACTCTGCTTTTGTTACTACAAATTGATTTCAATAGATGAGAGCTGACATGTAACCATTTTTCAGTATTGTATTTAGCAATAATGCTGTGATTTTTAATTAATGTGTTCAGGGCAATATTTTTCCAAACGAAGGATGATGAATAATATGCATTTGTAAAATGTTGTTGTTGTTTTAAAAACTGTTCCATACAATTTTGAACGTTACTGAGTAACTGCTGGATCGACAGGCCTACAAAACCTGCACTAGAGAGGCAGGAAAGAAGTGTCAAGTGCATATTTAGTGAGAGTTTGTTTAAATTAAGGAGCAGTCCTCTTGAATCAGAAACGGCGCTGACTGGAAACATACCATAAAAGACACCTCTGATGGAATAAGCTTCAGAGCACTTTGGTGCACAATTCTAAGCATGTAGAACTAAATGCCAGGGAGTGCAATGGTGCTTCCCCCCAGGTAAATGAGAATAGGATGGCTCCTGAAGCAGATCTGCCCTAACACCTCTAGCGCTTTAGCTACTGATGTACTCTAAGTGCTGCCTATTTATATGACCCACTCTGTCTACCTTGAGGGTTCTTTTCCGCAAAGCAATCTCATACCACAGTGGTGGTATGAAATGCAACGGTACTGGCAGTACTAGATGTTCCGAATCAGTGTTCAGTCACTTGAAAATCATGCATCCAATGCTGTTTGTTTTTTGTTTGTTGTGTTTCAGCCATCATGGTCATAACCACTGGGGGGGAAATACACCCTATACGGTGGTACCTTGGGTTACAGACGCTTCAGGTTACAGACTTAGCTAACCGAGAAATAGTACCTCAGGTTAAGAACTTTGCTTCAGGATGAGGACAGAAATCGTGCGGCGGCAGGAGGCCCCATTAGCTAAAGTGGTGCTTCAGGTTAAGAACAGTTTCAGGTTAAGAACGGACCTCCGGAACGAATTAAGTTCTTAACCTGAGGTACCACGGTACATAGAACTTTAAAACACATTATGGCATCCACTTCTGAAATCAGGAAGCTTGCTTTCCACATTTAATAAAAATGAGGACGCCTTATTTGTATTCTGGTGTCCAAGTCTTTCAAAGCACCTGTCTCACATTTTTGTGCACTAAGTAGATTAAATAATAATAATAATAATAATAATAATAATAATAATTAGAAGTCAGGATAGCAAAAGATTCTGGCTAAAAACATGGTGTGGCATGAGATGTGGAAAAGCCCGGGGGGACGGGGGATGGTTTTACTGAGGAATAGGAATCTACCACCCGCAAGCAATTTATTTTATACACTATAAGCTGCAATCCAAGTGTAGACACAGAGTGTTGTATAATAAGCACAATGCAGAAATAGGTGATTCAGTTTAAGTAGCCTAGCAAGAAGGAAACTGAAGCTTAATTTAGACATGACAGAGATGTTGACGGTAAATCAGGACCCAAAAGTTAGGAGAGTGAGACTTAATTGTGCTGCTCCCCTGGAAGGAGATCTCTAGGCTGGGAGTGGTTTTTGACCCTGCTTTACTTTACTGCATGTTTGGGGAACCTTTGGCCCTCCAGATGTTGCTGAACTACAACTCTCTTGATCCCTGGTCATTGGCTGTGTTTGCTAGGCCTGATGGGAATTGTAGTTCAGTAACATCTGGAGGACCAAAGGTTCCCCACACCTGCTCTACTGCTTAATGAACAGAACTCAGTTCTGGCTAGGAGTGCCTTTTTAAACTCTGGCTGCTGGAAGGCTAACTGTAGCCCCTCCTGTGCAAGAAATACATGGCCTGTCACTGCCTTAGTAACTTCCCATTTAATTACAGTACATCCTGAAATGTGTTCTGCAAAGGCAGAATTTGGTGGCTTACCATCCAAGAAGGAACGAGACACTTCCCTGTAATAAAATGGCATGTTAGTGGCTACTAGTCATGATGGTTGTGTCCTACTGATAATCATAGGCAGTAGACCTCTAAATGCCAGTTACTGGGAATCACAAGTAGGGTGTATGTTCTTGTGTTCAAGTCCTGCTATCTGGTTGGCCATTGTGAGCGCAGGATGCTGAACTAGAAGGGACTTTGGTAAGATGCAGCAGGCTCTTCTTAATTTCTTATGAACCACAGGGAACATTCACTTCCAGTTTTAGCCTCAAGTACATTGGGTGACTGTCTGCTTTCCAATTCAAGGTGTCAGTGCTTTACTTTCAAAGGTCTGGATTTAGCAACCCGTAGAGAACTTCATGGCCCATGCATACCACAGTGCTTTCAACATAGTCTTTGTAGCTCCTTTTCTTTCCTTCAAAATGGGGACAGTGGATCCTCCCCAAAGTCAGTAAAATAGGGTGGGCAACAGCTACAGATGACAGGGAACAACCACCATCCTCCTTCTTATCACTTTTAAGCCCCTCTCCACCTGGAGTACATTCTCAATTGTCAGAAGTGACCCAGAGTTGCTACTTACTGTTCTAAAATAAACCTCAAGAATTTGAGTTGCCTATTATGGCCATGGAATAAGAATATGATATTGGTAAGATAGCCAGCATTCAGCACTGATTGACAACTGGCCAGACCACAACAAGCAAACAAAATCACCTGTAAGCAGTCACCTGCTAAGACTGGGGTGGGAAACCCCTGGCCATTTCATGAGGCCCTTGGGATCCCCTCCTACCTATCAGCTGTTCTGCAGTGAGCAGCTGAGTGGGAAACGGCTTTGATGCTGTGCAAATTGTGCAACGGCAGCTCCTTTCTCTGCAAGGATCTGCTGCAAGATAAAAGTAGAGGGGGAAATGTCTCAGAAGGGAGACAGACATCTGATCCTTCCAAATGTGCAAAAAAAGAGAGCCCCTGCATTTTGTATTTGCATGCATGTCATTTTTGGGAGGGTATTGTATTTTGAAGTTTGAGGCTTTGAATAGCTGTCAGGCAGGGCCTGCAGTTCAGCTGTGCATTGATGTTATCTGCATTCCTCTGCTAGGATTACTGAGCTCTTCTTACCTTTTGAATAGTCAGGCCAATAATGGGTATAGGAGTGCTGTTGTTTAAATGAACTTCGTTTTTTAAAAATGTTTATAGGGAAAATGGAATGTAAAATTCAAGTGGAGTTACTAAGACTTAAACATATGCCTTTGTTTCCATGGCTAATAGTTTTTGTGTGTGTATATTGTATGTGTTAAGGATGTGTGTCTGTGTGTGGCTCTGGAATGCAGTCCCCAAAAGCTGTCTATCATGGTAGCATGTGCCTCCACCCAGAAAACATTCCCAATCATTGTGCTAATGCTTGCACATTAAAGGCACAACTACAGTAGCTGGCTGAAAGATTTGCCATGCTGCCCAAATAGGCAGCTGATATAATTAGGTCTTGTAAAGTGGTGCTACTTGATGCATTAAGCGATAAGACCTACTACAGAAAACCTTAGCCCAGCCACAGTGGGGAAGAAGCAAAAAGGATCCATCCCTGCTACAACAAGGATTGCTGAATTTATGATGAAACTCTGATTTTATAGAATTGGCTTTTGCCTTTTCCTTCTGGAACAAGAGATACTCAACTCCTTTTATTTTTACAGTCATTACTCTGTAGCCTTTAGTAAAACCATGTTGTCTCAGAAAGTCTGCTTGAAATGTTTTTACAGTTCTGCATGGCTGCATTGAAGCTGCCAGCTTAAACAGCTATAAAAATCCAGCAATACATGTTCAGTTAATGGAAGATATTTTAAGGTTGAGTCCCTGAAAAGGACTATTAACTTTATCAGCGAGCCAATAGGCAGAAACACACCTATAGCAGAACAGAATACAATAAGCAGGACAAAACTGTGGCTCAGATTATGCCATGACATCTATACTTTCTTTGATTCTGCCCAGCACCACATCCAAGAGTGTTTCCTGAGCCAGAATCATAAGGCAACATTTCTGTGCCAACCCCATTGTAGCAGCCTGCAGTTACTGCTCATTTCTTTAAAACACACTCACCCACGGGACACCACTGATTTAGGTGTGATGAAAGACGCCTAAAACACTTTTAGGAATCAGGCTAAAAGGCTTAGTCAGTCACTGCAGAATAGTATCATTTTCATTCAGTTAATCATTGCTGAAACCAACTATATTCTGCTTAACTAATAGTTAAATTAGGGGTTGCTTATCCAAAGAAGCAAGAGCTCCCGATTAAGCAATAATCTAGAGCAGGGACATCCAACTCCCAAGAGACTGTGATCTACTTCCGGGGGACGGGCAGTGATCTACCCATTTTGGGGGTGGGGTTCAGAGTTGCTAAGCTTTTTTTAGGGGTGCAGCTCAAATTTGTTGAGCTTTCTTTTTTTAGGGTAGAAAATCAAAGTTGTTGAGGTTTTTTGGACAGTAAGTGTGAAGAACTGCAATAAATCGCTCACTAAAAACACAGTTGCGAACAGGGGAACGCAGCGCTACAGCAGACAACAAAGGAACACCCATTAAACGCAACACAGGAAAAGACAGAGGGGGGAAGAGACATGATTCTAAACAACGCGAGCAGAAAGAATCCTGCAATCGACCAAGGTCATCTGGGGATCGACCTGTCGATCGCGGTCGACCAGTTAGACACCCCTGTTCTAGAGCATATTGCAGGTTGAGGGGCCTGTGGCTGCGACAGGGATAAATTTACAACATTCCTATAGTTTATTCTGTTAACAGTGCAGGTTAGATGTGGGGCTGAGGTTGATTTGGATTTTCAGCCAAAAATCTTCCTGATAAAATGTACAGTGGAACCTCGGATTGCGAACGTGATCTGTGTGGGAGGCACGTTCAACCCGCAGTGCTGCATCTGCACATGTGTGGGTTGCGATTTGGCGCTTCTGCGCAAAGCATGATTTTTGTGATTCTGCGCATGCGCGAGCGCCAAAACTTGGAAGTAACCTGTTCCGGTACATCCAGGTTTGGCGTGGTGCGCAACCAAAATCATGTAACCTGAAGTGTCTGTGACCCAAGGTACCACTGTACTGTACCTCGGGTTAGACTTGGAAAGGTCAATCTACTTAAATTATTTTCTTAGACTTCCTCCCAATCTAAATCCAGCATTCAAATGCAGGAAGAAGCTTTGTGCTCCATGAACATACTTGCATCTTCTCTGCATGTTTCTGGCTGCTCATGCTTCTGGCCTATCACAGCTATGCTAAAATTCTGGATTTCTGCAAGTCATCCATAGAATCACTTTCATCTCGGGAGAGAAGTGTCTCTTTAAGTTTACTGTTTATTTTATATTTTGAATGATTTACAGAGCTGTTTTTTTATTGATAATTTAAATGTTTTATTCACATATTAAAAAACACACACACATTAGAGCAGGTTATAATTAGGTAGTGTACACATTTTATGAAATAAATAGAAGAACCCAGAAGCTCCATTTATAGATAATGGGGTGAGCTGACTTAGAATATTTTCCTATATGCTGTTGCCTTCAACAGTCCATAAATCCTGGAAGCTGTTCTTCTCAGGCTAACTTGCGGGGGGGGGGGGTGTTAATCTCATACCTTCTCTGTTAATATTTCTGTGTACTGAAGGAGACCGTCAGGTATGTAGAACCACTACTGTCTTTTTATAATACTCTGTTTTGCTTAAGAACAGATGCTTGACCAACAGAGTTTACCATTAGAAAGAATAAGACAAGTGCTCCTGTTCTGGGTGCCGGAACAGCCCTTCTACAGTACCGCATACTGGAAGTTGAAAGGGACACAAATAGGGCAACTAATTTCTTCACGCTGTCACCACGACCCTGTTCCTGTTTTCTTTTTACTGACAAGCAATCTTTCATGCAGACGCCTCCCTCTTGTTTCTTAGTGGCCTTGTTTTGGCTCTAATCCTGGTGGGAGGGTCCAATGATTATCTTCCTTGTATTCTGTAGCTGACAACAACTTTTACTATAGAATCTCTGAATTTTCATATCCCAATAAACACTGTTTTCAAGTTCTATTACAAGTGCAGGACAAGTCTAAGCATGTTTAATTGGAAGTGTACTTTACTGAATTCAACAGGAATTACTCCCTTGTAATTGTGCTTAGAACTACATTTTTAAAAAAAAACCTAGAGTTTTGAAGTGTATTGTTGTGACTGGAGCGACATTCTGAGGTTAGATAAATTTTTTGGTAAAATGTTCATTTTTTTCCAGGTTAAAATTCAGAGTGATACATTGGGATGGGGGGGGCGGAGTAGATGCATAATATTGAGCAACATGATCAAACTTAACACGGTACAGTTGCTGGGTAAGACATACTAAATGAAAGAACCTCACATTACATTCTTAGATCCCATTAAACATCCAGACAAGAAAGCTAATCCTGTCACTAACCATCTGCTCAAAATGCCTTCTTAGGGTATTGATGACAGCTATATGCAGCAAAACAAATTCAAGTGTATGAATGAGCAAAGGTATACTTGGCATGCTTGCATTACACTATCTGCAACACACACCATCCCCAACATGCCTTTGTGCTGCTTCTTAATGCACAAGGTTCCAGCTAGGGAATGCTTTATTGAAGTAAAACCACTTTCCAAACTGAATAAAATGTATAACCTGTAAGATGTTAAATAAACCTATTTGTGGGATTGCAGATTCATGCTGAGCCCTCTATGTACAACTATTTCCTTGGAAAATGTAAAGAATAAAGTCATTGGAAGCTCTGATAATAATGAATTTGTTTTATGCATCAAGGAGTTCAAAAAGGTTTCGCTAAAATGGCTGAGTCCCATATGTAAACAAAAGTAAGTGAGCTGCTCGGAAATACTTTAAAAAATTATCTTTTTAACTGGGGACTGAATACCATTTGGGATAGATCCCAATAACTAGCTTATGAAATAACATTCTATAAGCTAGCATGATCCACATCCCAAATGGTATTCCAATCCACAGTAAAATCTTAACTTCTTTTCCAAAATATTTCCATTTCTTCTTCTATAGCTGTTCTGCTTTGAATAATGTTCATGTCTTTTAAGACTAATCCCTGAACATTTACAACAATTAAATTGTTAATAATTGATTTCATATATCATGTGTTTGGCTTTAAAATAGCTCAGCTAAATGAATAACTGAACATGCAATGACTATTAACATCAAACTTCTCTCTTCTGTATTATAATGTTAATTTTTATATTTCACCAGTCAAGTGACTGATTCTAACTTTAAAATATCCTAATCTGGATGGTGTGAAGAATATGTTAAAGTTTCTGGGGTTGGTCACTCTGCATTGGGGAATCCCATCTGCTCCCAATAAAACTGTTCAGAGCTTGTCCTCTGATAACTCTACTATATATGACCTCACACTCTCCAAGAGTTCCTATACTTCGAAATCCCTACCTTGTATCTTAACCAAATACAGTGGTACCTTGGGTTAAGAACTTAATTCGTTCTGGAGGTCTGTTCTTAACCTGAAACTGTTCTTAACCTGAAGCACCACTTTAGCTAACGTGGCCTCCCACTGCCACCGTGCGATTTCTGTTCTCATCCTGAAGCAAAGTTCTTAACCCAAGGTACTATTTCTGGGTTAGCGGAGTCTGTAACCTGAAGCATATGTAACCCGAGGTACCACTGTAGTATTTTTCCCATTAGTGCCACTCCTCAAACCATGCAGAGACCTTCAAACCTTGCACTCACCACCCAGATACCCCTACCACTCAACTTGATTAATTCCTTCTTTCAGATCTTCAACAAATAATCTGTACCAAATTCCTGTTTTCTGCAACCTTACCCAAACCAATCCACTCCCTCAATTTCCCTCTCCAGTTTACACCAAAGCCCATTAACAAAGTATTTCACGTTAGTCAGATCCTACGCATATCTTACCAATAATTAACGATCTTGTACTAATGGGATTGTTGTGGACCCAGCAGCTTTTTGAAATAGTTATTAAACTTTTTTAAAAAGCAAACTTGAGCCACTTAATATTCCAATGTACCATATTTTCAACGGTTATTATCAGCTGTTCTTTGATTCCATTTCCCTTAAAAAAAATTTTTTTCAAAGTTACCGTTTACTCAAATTGTCAGAGGTCCAATTTATCCCTACTGAAAAGATGAGAAAGTGAAACTATCAAATAACCTAAGATGACTGCAGTCTGTTCCAGCAACTTCTCAAAATGAGGTATGGAAAAATTCATTTTTGCCTGTATCATAAATTTCTTACATCACTTTTAAAGCAATTGAATGTGGGTTTTTTGCACATTTATTTACCATGAGTGTGGTATTTCATTTAGGCTTTTTCTTTGTTTCTGTCTTGTTCACTTTTGTTAGCAGCCCTTCATCTATGCATCATGTTTTCTCTTCCTGGTAGCCCAGTGAAGAATTTGTTAACACTGTGAGGTCCAACAAAGATCGCAGCTATCAGGATTTCACCCTGAAAAAAGTAAACATAGAGTACAGGAGACTCTCAGCTTCAGAAAATCACCTTCCAAGTTGTGGAGGGAGAGCAGAACAATGACAGGGGTGAAACTAGCAGCCTCAGCCTCATAGCTCCCCCACCAGCAATGTGTTTCCTAAATTTAAGGCTTGGTTAGGATTGCCATGTGAGACATTTTAAACAAGGGCAAGTATCTTCTCAACAACCCTTTTGAATGGTAATCTTCAGAGATAAAGATCAACCTTTCAATATAAGAACTGAGAACCAGGGGGAAGAAGTTAGTATTTATTAACCAATATGAAGTAAAGGCCTCAATTTTGGGTTTGTGACATTACAAGCCATCAACTTTTTACCGCATCAACACAACCAGAACAACAGAATCGGGTAGCACCGTTGAGTCCAACCAATTTATGATAGCATCATCTTTTGGCTGCCACCCTGGAATTCCAAACAGGAGGTTACCGCTTTTCTCCTTCTCACCACGGAGGGTTGACCTGCGCGCCTTTGGAGCAGGGATTCAACAGATGGGTCCGCAGTGGCGGGATAATCATAATCAAACCGATACTGGCTGCACGTCGTTAATGCCCCAATCGCTCGCATGCACACACTGCAAAATTAAGACGGCGCTGTTAATCCTTGCCCAGAAGGTGGCAGGCATCCCGAGCCCCTTCGCTTTTGCCCTTCAACCCTCCCGCCATTCACTCCACTTCGACCCCTTCCTACCTCCGGGTACCCCGAGCCTGACTGCGCGCAACCCCCCCCCCCCCCAACTTCAGCAACGCTCCCTCCCATGGACGGTTTTGCAGGCCGCTCCTACTCCGAGGCAAGTCCCAGCGACTTCCTTCCGAGAAAGTGCACTTCTTGCAGCCGGGTCCCAGGCACAAGCTGGGCGGGCGAAACCCCGACGGATGCCGGCCTGAGGCGCGCCTAACTCTGCCCCGCCGCAGGGTCGAGGCCTAGCCCTCCTCCAACTGCCCTGCTCCCCGTGCCCGTTTCCTCCGAGGTAAGTGGGTCCAGTGGAGCTGCCTCCCGCCGCGCGCGGACTGGGCGCCCCGGGAAGGCGCAGCGGCGCCCCGGCCGCCCCTCTCCGCCTGCGCTCGCTCCTCGGCCGGGCCAGCGGAGCACCGCCCGCCCAGCGCCCGCCACCCAATCGCGCGTCCTGGCGGCGGGAGGAGGGGGCGGCCTCGGCGCCCGGAGCCTGTGAGCCGAAGCGATGTGGGCCGGGCCTAAGCGCTGCCTCTGCCGTCGTTGCTGCCGCTGCTGCCGCCGCCGCCGCCATGATGCTTGTTTGCTTTCAATGAGTGTGAGAAGGAGGCGGAGGAGGAAGAGAAGGAGGAGGAGAAGGAGGAGGCGGGGGGAGCCCGTTCTCCCGTCCGGCCCGCGGCAGGAAACAAAGAGCCAGGCAGAGGCAGCGCAGAGACGGGGATGCTGCAGCTACAGGTACGGGGGCGGCGGCCGCGCCGACGGAAAAGGCGGCGGCGAGGAGGAGGCAGAGGGAGCGGGGGTCGAGGCGGCTCTTCCTCAACCGCCCCCCCACCCCGTCGAATGAATCTGTGGGGCGGGGGTGGCGGCAGCGGGGACCGCGGCCTGAGGAAAGCAGGTTTCTGACGGGAGGGGGGCGGTTAGAAGTGCCCCGGGTAATCATAATGGGGGCGCGCGGGGGGGGGGGGACGACCGAAGGATTATTTTGGTGGGAGGCGCGGAGAGCGGCGGCGGCGGCGGCGCATTCGAGGTCCTGTGGGACGCGGAGAGAGATGGCTGACTTTCCGGGGTGGGTGGGTGGGTGGGGGTCGAGGAGATGTTTGTGGGTCGGTTTGTCGGGGGTGGGTCGTGTTGACAAGGTTAACGGGGGGGGGCTGCTGACCAGAGAGGGGGAGCGGGGGTTGTGTTGGGGTCCTGTGAGGTTTGGGGGGTGGTTTGTCGGTGTTACTATTTTTATAATAATCCAGCCGGGGGGGGGGGGAGGGGAACGCGGCTCCTCTTCGGGGAAGGGGCGCGGAGGGAGACGGGCGAGGTAAATACGTCGCGAGATACGAAGCGGGGTCTCCGGGCCCTGCGCCTCCGGAGTGCGTGAAATGCATGGCTGGACGAGGACGGGGCGGGTGGGGGGTGGTGGTTGGGCGAGGGCTTTTGAAGGGAGCGTGTTGTGCGGGGGGGGGGCGCCGGGGTAGCAAATAAAACTGTGTACGAGGCGGGTGAGGCGAGCGGCCTATTGCGCTGAAGGTGGTGGAGAGTGAGTGGTGGCGGCGGTGTTTTGAAACAAAACAAAACAAAAATTACTGGCGTGTGTGGTGGTGCTTTGGCGCTGGCACAGTTGATTTGGAGGGCATTATTGCTCTTCAGGAAACAAAAGGAGCCCTGTTGGGGTTGGCAGGGAGGAGGAGTTCTCCCGAGGAGAAAAAAGTTTTTGGTCTGGGAAAGTAGAGACGGGGGTTGGTGTTTTGCACTTGGAAGGGGCGGCTGAGCCTTCCTGGAAGCTGTGGGAAGGTTCTGGAGGAAGTGACGTGCTCAGTGCCTGTTGACAAGAGCTGTGGGGTGGTGGGAGTAGTGTGGGGGTAAGGGGGGGGCAGGGCTCATTTGCTTGAAGTGTGTAATAAGTGTGTTAGGATTCTGGTTTGTGGGGTTGGCGTGGCTATACAAATGCACCAAACTGCTATTTTTATTTTTATTTTTGCACTTAAAAGCAACTAAGATAAAAGTACAGGTGTAGTGGGGGGGAAGCTGGTTTAATAAAAACTGAAAGTGTAAACACTTCTGGAAATAAGCAGGAAGAAAGGAAAGCTTGCATTGCACAGCTGTTTTTCTTCTCCACACCTCAACAACCTCTTAAAATTAATTTAAATAGAACAGGTAGGTGTAAATTTAAAAACTATAGGTCCGTATTTGCCGTGGATAAATAAGCCTGGTTCTTGGGAACAAAACCTGCACTTCAGGATAAATTTAAGCTTGGTTACATTACCCTTGTGTCTGAAAGGGCTAGCTTGCAATAAGAAGGCCACAATAGACAGCCTGTGTCTGAAATAGAAAGGAAAGAGCTTTAGCAGGAATGATTGACAGCTGTGCTGTCCAATGTAATGAGCTGGGGGCAGGAATACTGTTTATATGCAGGTAGCTTGGCTGGGCCTCAGTCTGTAGAACACACACATGTACCGTGGTACCTCAGTTTACGAACAGTCCTGTTTATGAACTATTTGGTTTACGAACTCTGCGAAACCGGAAGTAGTATTCTGGTTTGCAAACTTTACCTCGGTTTACGAACCGAAGCTGAATGGTGGAAGGGCACCAGCGATGGGAGGCCTCATTAGCGAAAGCACACTTCGGTTTAAGAATGGATTCGGTTTAAGAACAGACTTCCGGAAAGGTAAACCGAGGTACCACTGTAGGGGTAAACAGGATTAGAATGCAGATCTCTTGGGGTTACCTACAACAGCAAATTTGTTGTATATGTTTTTGTGTAGATGGAGTATCTAATGAAGTGCTGTTTTAGGCCGCTAAGAAAGCAAAACTTCAGCAGGCTGTTCCTTATAAGGGTGAGATTCTAAGGGGTAGTATACAGTTGTCAATTTGATCCAAAATATATGGTAGGAAAGATATTTTTATGTACAGGTTGCTTGTGAGTTCTGTGTTTTTAGTGGTAGATTTTTATGTTGAATTTTACTTTTGTATTGGTGAAGGGACATAACCCAAAAGTAAAAAATAAAACGATAATTAAAAAATGTAACAGCACCTGTTTTGGATAACCTTCATCTTTTACTAGTTGAATGATCTGGGAGGTTTTAAAATTTATTTAAGGTGAGTTTTTGTTTTGCATTAAGCCTTTTAAATATCTGTAGTTAAAAGACGAGGATTTTTAGGAAAACCTCATAAATTTTCACTATAACTTAAGATAGATAATGGAAATTCCATTATTCTCATATTCTATAGTAGTAAAGATCTAACATTTATATGATTATGTTGTTGAGGTTTCCTGCAGAGATTTTTGAATTGTGCTGTATAAGCAGTTGGGGATTTCTACAGTGTCTGGTATGTCTCAGGGTTATTTTCTTATCTGGATTTTACCATATTGGTAACAGAGACTTAAAATTCAAAAGGATTAAGGAATATTTATGGTAATTATTTGGTATGAATGTGAAGGTTGGCAAGTGTTGACTGGTAATTGTATTGTCTCTTGCATTTCTTTTCATCCTAGAGCAGGTCTCGTAATTGGGGATTTGTCAACATTTCCACTGGGGTAATTTTACAGAATTATCCACCCTGTGTTCTTCCTGCTGGTTCATCTGGACTCTGGAGTGTGCTGCTAGGAATGAAGTCTTCTCTGGGAGTTTATTCACAGTATTGCTGAAATGGAACCATTCACATATGGATTAATGCTTTATTCACTTTTCACTTGAAGCATTTGGATCAGTTCATTTTTCTTTATAAGGGAGATTGTCCTGTGTCATTTTGTAATGAAATCCTAAGTGTAGTCTTGACAAGTTGACAAGTGTAGTCTTGTGTTTCAGTAATTAAGGAAGAACTTAAATATAAAAATAAATGAAACCACAGTACTGCATGGGCAGGTAATTATTTTTGGTAATGTATATCTTTAGATGTACATATTGGCTTGTGTGGATTAATAAGGTGTATTTTTAGTAAGTATGTTGTAATGCTAGCCCATGCATTTCTCAAATTAGTTTTAAAAACCCACCCAGTGTATGACAGCTTTATTTTAAGAAAGAAGTTGCATTCTTTTGATAGAAAAATGGTCCACCAAAATCCGGTTCTTTGGGTATGGTACATTAAATCTGGCTGTTTTGGTATGGAATTTAGATGCAGATTAGTTAAATAACTTGCATCTTAATTTCTGTATAACCCTATGCAGACATTCAAATTGTACATATAATGCATATCTCCATTGAACTCTGCTTGTAGGCAAGAGTTGCCTCAACTGTGTAAATGTTAGGCATGAGTGGGGCTGGGGAGTGGAGATTCTTCCATGTATGGCATTTGAACATTGGTATTTGGCTAAGGTGGCAAAAGCGTATATGGATTAGCTACCAAAAATTACAAGCCTGCACTTTTAAAAAACTTGTACAAGGGACAGTGGAATATGAATGGAGCACTCCTTCCCTTCTTTGCCAGTCCTTCTTATGAGTTAAAAGCAGGCTAGTGAAACATATTGCAAGCTAGAAGTGAGCGCACTACCTCCTCTGCGTTCATGCTTGGTTTCTATGATGAGTGTGCAGGAAGAGGTGAAGTGGACTAAGTACTGGGATGAAGTGATCCATGCCTCTACAGCTATCCTGCATGGTTACTATGCCACACATGCAGGAAGGGGCCACATCTCCCATGCATAGATGCTTAGTAGGCTTGTGGCATTGTCACAGATTGCCCTGTCACTTTGCCACCAGCATGTACATAAAACACAAAAGCCACCCTTTGGATGCTCAGAATCCATCTGCTGCTAGCCCGCTGTGATAACATGTAGGACATGCAGCATTGTGCTTCACTTCCCATGCATCCAGTATAGAACTGAGGCATGCTGGGGATTGCTTTGTCCCTTTGCTGCCAGTGTGCTGTGTTTCTACAATAAAGGTGTGGGAGATTTGATTGTTAATGTGTCTTGCAGAAGTGCAGCAGGAAGCATTACTTCTTCCTTCCACCACCAGCTTTCTTGGTTTCTGTGCTGGATGCAGGGGAGGAAGCTTCACCTCCTACACACCAAATATTGAAATGCAGTGGTCTGCCAGAGGAAGGATGAAGCGCTTCATGTCCTAGACAAGGAAGGAGGGGGCTTACTCTCCTCCCCACCCACTATAGAAATGTAATGAGCTGCTGCGTGGAATGGGGGAAAGAGGGAGCAAACAGGTTCTCTCTTTTGGGCAGTTCATTCACTCCCCTGTGATAAATTCCTTATCACATATGACAACTGGGCAATGAGTTAAAAACAAGGCTACACTAGGTTTACCGTATTTGGTAACTAGCAATTTATCTTACAAGGCTCTGAAACTAGTTAACCCTGAAGCATTTGAGATGTGCATATGTGTGTTAACATTTAAACATGTCATTTTTCACTTGTGGCAACATTCTAATCTCTACCTAAAATACTTCGTGGAACCCTGTTACCTACTTCACACTGAGGTGTGGTGCTAAGAGAAATACTTCAAATGCTCATTAGCAGTAAGGTCTTTTTAATATTTTTCACATCTTAACTAGTCCATAAAATTTCACTTAACATACAAACTCCTTTCTTATGTAGTTTTTACATGTAGTTACCCTTAAAGCTGAGTAGCCTGTGTGTTAGACAAACCTGTTGTCAGTGCACATATAGTTTAAACTGATTGCTAAGCAGCATTAATTTTCCCCCAAAGTCTGTAGTTTAAAAATGAATTTGTGAAGTATAGCCTTGATACATCACATCTCATGTTTTATTCCCAAAAAAGGACCACTGGTGGTGTATCTGAGAACTGATGGTGTCTCTAAGAATTAACTGATAGACACTGACCTGTCTAAACATAACCTCTGTTTTAGAAGTAGCATGTTAGTTTTGTAAAAACATGTCCTGTTTCATAATTTTTGGGCACATTGTGTTGTGCATTGAAAATCAGATTCCTCTAAGCTTCCCCTAGAATGTGAGGGTTAAAACAAGAACCATGTCAGAATGTTATGATCTTTGTACTAATCAATACAGTTGCATTCAAGTATTTGAGCTAAAAAACTGAAATAGAAGATGGAGTTCTGTGATTCTTTCGTTGAGTGTTTTCTCTGTTTGTTAGGGTAGTAAGGGATGCAGGATCAATATAGTATAAGGTCATGCAGGTGTTATCTGTAACGGTGAAAATTGAGCCTTCCTATTCTTATGCAGCATAGGAATTATTTGCCCCTTAGTAAATGGCTAAGTGCAAAGTTCTGTATAATTCATGGCATCAAACCAACAGTCGACAAGGCAGAAGATAAAAGATCCTAAGTTATGTGAATGTCTCTGAAAAGGAGAGAGCCTTTAACTCATTCAGACCAGAATAAATCATGACCACACAAAGCTAATAACTGAAAGGCTTTGTATGCATCTTGGATTTGTCCAGGCTATAAAATCACAAAGGGCTGGAAGGTAGTGTGCAGGATGGGAACCCTCTGCTATTTTACTGCAATCTTCTGTAGCAGACTGTGAAGATTAACAGTCTGTTGGTATTAGTGAGGGGGGATTTCCTTCTGTGCAAAGTGGTTTTCCAGTTATAGTGGTCAGCTCTTAAAGTTGTTGAAATCCTCCACCCCCTAATCTTTGACCTAAAATATGCATAGTGGTCCTTGTAGGGTTCCATCACTATAGAAGCTGTAAGTCTGAGCTTACATGTGCTCTGAGGGGACAAGAGCATGCAGAAGCAGCCATTGTACTTGGCTGCATTTCCACAAGGTAGGAAAGCAGCACAGCACTGTGGTGGCTGCCATTTGTAGGTAAATAGTGACCTGAGCAGTGAGAAAGGGGTTAATAGGCAAGTGTGTTGGGCTGTCAGCTGTTTACCCAACTTGCACAGTTTCTATATTCCCCAGGTAAGTAGCACATTATTTAGGTAATCTATATTGTATTGTCATAATATCTGCAGAAAAATTGCAATGTCTTTATTATGGCATGTATGATATGCCAACATGGACTTTGAAAATTAAAGTTACATTCCTCATGTGAAGAGGCTGTTACAGGATACAGTCATAAAAGTGTGTTGTAAATTGACACTTCCAAATATGTAAGAAACCAAAGCTAAAGAGGAAGTAAAATTAGGTCCAAGGGCTTCTGGTAGCGTAATTACAATGAAAAACATCTAGATGTTTAGACTATTAAGCTAAATGATGCTAAGTTCTTGATTTTTTGTATAGAGTACATACAAATGTTCATGCATATTCCTTCCTGTCTAGATCTACTGTGTATACTAAATACTAGAAGTAATATCCCCCCCCCCCATTGTTTGGGGCTTAAACTACTTTTAGATAAATTATGGTTGGAAGAATGAACAGTATGTTGTAGTGCTCTACTGTGATAGACAGGCTGAACACGACCCATATTGTGCATGCTTGTGATAAAAGTGTGTACCATTGAATTAAAATCCGTATCTTACTCTGTGCAATGATACCTTTCACAGTATGGGGTGGGGATTAATGTCTCTTTGCTTACTTGTAATTTGGATGAGTAACATAGTAGTTTACCCATGAGGCTCATGTTCGAAATGTTTTCACTGCTGAGTCGTATTCATTGGATACTGCTTATAGCTTGCTACAGTTTTTTCTTTCAAAGTTAAGATGGTTTTGAGTTCATAGGGAATGCAGATTTAAGATTCATTCCCTATGCATTTTGAGTGAATACTCATATTAAAAAAGCGAACAGCAATGTCTTACTCTGGCAATTTCCCTCAGATAACCATGCATCCTTACAGTTACAATTTCCCATAATGTCCTGCTTGGAAGAGAGTTCATTTCTGCTTATGCATTACAATTTTCAGACCAGGGAGGGAATATGCAGTGCCAGCATGAGTAGCTAGTAACATGCTTATTTCCCAGTATTATTACACAGAAGGTCATCAGCTAAAAACAGTTAAGGAGGAAAAAGCCTTTGAGATGGGCAATCCCAGGATGATGATAATACAGCCTAAAAGGAAGGAAACACAGTTTTTGCAGTGTTCGTTTCAGTATGACTAGGGCAGTATTCAGCTGTAAAGCAGTGATGATTCTTCTTTTGGAATATTGTTCAGTTTCTTCATTTTTAAGAAGGATGGATTTCAATTAATGATTTCAAAGGAAAGCAGTCTGAAAGATCTGAACAGAATGTTTTATGTTTGGATGAATAAGAAGGTAAGGGAATTCAGTTGAACCCTGCAATATGCTGCAGATGTGATAGCAGTGATAGGTCATGACTGATCCATAAAAATCCAAACTTTGTCCCATTACCTTTCTTATTGTATTGTGTTTTGTCTTAGCTTTAGCTTCAAACTTATGCTTGTTACTGTAAATTAGTCTTCCACCCATAAAATCCCTGTTCCCTTCCTTTTCGTTGTCCTAGCAAGTTGTCAACCTGAAAATGACAGAAAAGGAACTTCACATTTCTTACTGAAGCCACCGGCTCTTTCTTACTTATTTTGCCATTGTTTCAGATCTGTCTTTTCCACTCATGGACCATCTTGGACTTCTTCCTTTCCTATCCCACTTGCCTGCATCCCGCTCATTAATCCTGTTGCCTTTTTCACATTTCTATGAACCACTTCATTTGTGCTGTATCCACTGACTGCTAAGGCCTATGCCTGTGCTGTGGTTATCTTTTATCACTAATGCATCCTTCTCCTTGGAGATGCAATGTCAGTGTGTGTAAAGTAGTTGGATTGTAGAGTTCATTACATTTAACTCTACTTTGTATCTGATTAAATAACTGAAAATGAGACCAAAAAATGAAGAACTTTGCACCAGCCATAGTGTGTTTTGCTTCTTTTGGAACTAGCTCTGCATAGAGCTTCATCTTTCACAGTTTGAAAATGTGGGAGGCAGTGACCTTGACTTTCAGGTACTTGAGTGTCTTCCTTGCATCCCTTTAAAAAACAACAAGACCAAGCCTAACTTGCTTCACCAAAATATTGAAGTACTGTCAAGTGCTTTAGGGGGTGTCAATAGCAGGTGTTACAGATTTTCTGTCTTGATAAGTTAAAACAATGCAAATAAGCTTTTAAGTCTTCCAGTTTTTAGCTTATTTGCTACAATTCCTTTTACCAAAAATAGGAACGTTAGCCTAACTGGATTTCCTCTTCTTTTTCTTAATCTGTTTTGCAGCTCTCCTAGTGGTCAGCCATATGTGGCTTCCAATGTGGATTTGACTGGGAGTACTGCAAATCTGATGGCAGGGAGTACAAAATCCAGAGCAGCGTGAAATTTCCTTATTTTCCTGGCACATTCTTACCGGTAAATATTGTGTAAATTTAGCAGCCTTAAAATAGTCAACTGATAGGGAATTAGACTTCAAGGGGGAAACTCTTGCTTGTTTGATGTAATGCACCACACTATACTTAATAAGTGTACAATAGCCATTGAGATGCTAGGTTTTTGCAAATTAACAAGAATGATGAATATGCATATATCCAGATGCTCTTCTTTCTTATTCAGTTCCAGTATAAGTTAAAGTATGGTAATTATGCAAAACATACTTAATAGCATTCGTTCTGGACTAAGTGTTGAATTGATAGGTTTTCCAGTATTGGTGTCATGTGAGATTTTGTTTTTGCAGGGAGCTTTTGACTCTTACAGTTCATAGAAAGAAACAGATAAGAGGGGTACTTTGTAGGAGCACCTGGGAATCCATGAAAACCTAATGGATATTAAGCATTAGGCATGTCTGTCCCAATCAGTTGACACCTATTTTTCTAAACTGATGGTAGTTGGAGGTTTGCTGAGCTGTTTTGAATGAACTTGCACTTGCAAGGCTGGCTTTATTGCATATGCTTGTTTTGGTTAGATTATATAGTAGTCTGTGGCTACAACGTGGAATTTTGAACACTGTAATCTAAAATGTGACTTCTGCTGATTCAATATTTTTATCCAAAAGATCTTTTAAAAAAATACTGTGAGTTCTTTACAAGCATATTTATTCCTTGAGTTGAAAGGATTTTTCTTCAGAAACATGGTCTGGCAGGGTTGAATTCTGGATTCTTGGTTCACACAAACAGTGATTTATTGGAGGGGGGAGCAGGGCAGCAGAAGGGTGGGGAGATGGGGTTAGAGAAGAAGTGATGACATCATCCTCTGGAGTGCCAGGGTGACAAGACAGTTCCTTTTCGCTCTGGCAAATGAATGAGGTGGTAACAAGGCTTTCAAATATTTTTTTAAAAATTGGGATTTCTACTTCATCTTAGTAATTTAAACGTTAGCACTTATTTGAAGTACTGCTTGCATTTATAACGAAACACTAATGAGTTCATTCAGATGACTGAAGACCTTTTAGTAAAGTTCACTTTGTTTAGGAAGTTTTAAACCTATGCAGTCAGAAGTAAGCACCAATAAGTTCAGTGAAGCTTACTTCCAGGAAACCATGCATAGGGCTGCAGTCATGCTACAAAAAAGTTTAGTCCTTATGGTGCCACAGGACTCCTTGAAAGACCAGACTTTCTTTTTTTTAGTAGTAAAATTTATTTACAGTCAGAACGTGCATCTTCTGATTTTTTTTTCCTTTGAGGAAGAAAGCTATGAGGGGCAGAGTATGATAGCAGCAAAAACTTCTAAAACAACCTGTCATGTCTAGAACAAACAGCAATTGTTTTTTGTAATGCAGAAATTAAAACTATTGCTATGCAAATGCAGGCAGGTAAATAAACAGACAATTTTATTGTGTTTGAGAGATCTCAGGATTAAAAATTCTCTTCATTAATAACCCAAAGTTTTAAAGATCAGCAGATTGCAGAAGTTGTTCACTAGAGGCCTGCTTTGAGTATTCAGCTATGACAGGAATTGGCCATCCATGACATATAGTCATGATAAAGTGAAGCTTACTTCACACTTGGTCTGCAAGAAATGGGGGCCAGTGGCAATGTAAAGTTTACTGGTCGCCAACTTTCTCTGAACGTTCCTTACATTTTGTAAATGATTGTCTATAGCCACCCAATAGATTAAGAAATGAAATAAATGGAGAAAAGGGATTGCTTTTAGCCAGAAAATGAGCTTTCTTGACTACCTATCAATTAAAAGATAAATTCTGGCTACCTGCCCAATTAATAGACCAGTCCTCTATAGTGCCTGTAAAGTTCCAATCTACAAAAATGACAGGTATTGCATTTTTTATACACACAACTTGTTTTTATGCATATAACCTTATTTATAAATGTCCCTATTGTCTTAAGGAGAATTGGTTGAAATACATTAGTCCTTTTTAATCACACTTGCAGGTTGCATACAGGCTTATAATGTTTGGTGAACAAAGAACAAGGAAAATTTTTCTCTGTTGCCTTGCCTGCTCCCACAGGATAGCAAGTATCTAGTTCAACCCACTTTCCTGTCACAGAACATTGGTTTATAGGCTGTGTGAAATGGCTGTCACTACTTCTGTTTTAGTAACTAGTGGGGAATTTAAAAGCCAAAAGTGAAGTCTGAAATGCACTCCTTTCTCTTTGGTTTTCCCTAGCTCCTGGGGCTGAAGAAATGGAAAACAGAGCTTCATTGTACATTCATAGATAGATTTTCAGCATTATTCAGCTCCCAAGGGAGGGGCATACAGCAGTTATGTCACTTTACCTACTAATTTAATTTTGCTTGTATTAGGCAAAACCTGCATCTGAACTGGGCGATGCTGTTCCAACCCCTATTGGAATGGGACAGAGTGAGAGAACTGTGGGAACTACCAAAAGAGATGCCTAAACTTGAAAAAAGGCACAAAGAAATTTTCTTACTCATACTGCACTGACTATCACATTGCTTAATCTTTAATTCTTAGTAGTGTATTCTAGCAGTAAACATGTATGGTAAATTGAACAGTAAAGTCTTTAAAAAATGGTTGTGTGTTAAGATTTTGCTATGTACCAAATCGGTTGCAGTCTTAGGCACAAGTGCACATGCTTACAACTCAGTTTAGCAATGGATTACAGCCTGTCAGACTCCATTCCAGTTAAATCAATCAGAATGGTCTATATTTCCTTTTCATCTTTTTTTTTTTAACCGCTTGCATCAGTTTTGTTAAATTTTTGCTTGCTTCTGTTTTAGGGAGCTTTCTAATAATGCCAGTATTGTGTGGTATTTTGGCACTGCATTTATAAAATTAATCTTAAACTATGTGACCCTCACCCAGATAACATGTATCCATGTATGGATTACTGATTGATTTAACCGGAATGGCGTCTGCACAAATTGCACAAAAGCCTGCTTCTTTGTAGGAAAATTATCCAAATCCAGCACAGTGTAAGATGCCTGCAGAAATGGGTATATCTATCTCTCAGTGTGTGCGCACACATGCAAATGCTATGTCCGTCATCGAGCCCCAATGGTTGTGTGGCTAGAGCTACTGATAATGAAGTGGCTCACAAGTATCTCTGAAACTTTCCAGTGTAGTCCAAAGCATCTGGAGGGCATCAGATTCGCAATGGCTTTACTTTGGAATGCAAATTGCATACATGTTCCTAGCTACTATAACGAGAGGGAGGTTTTTCAGTCTAGGCCCAATTGAAATGTGTGAAAGGGCAATAGTGTTTTAAGAGGTCCACATTCCATCTCCTGTATCTTGCCTTCTCTTGCCCTGGGCTGGCCTTCATTATGAGGTGAATTCCATGTCCCAAATCTTACCTGTTGAATGCCAAAATACTACAGTTTGGACTGTGTGGTACTAACACTCAGGTTTCTAGGCCGTGTACCTTAATTTTGATACAGTGGTACCTCCAGTTGCGCGCGGAATCTGTTCCAGAGCTCCGGTCAGATCCCGAGGTGTGCGTATCCAGAGGAGGTGCTGCTTCTGCGCATACGCGTGGTGCGGTTTACCGCTTCTGCGCATGCATGCTGCACATAGAGCGCTTCTGCGCATGCATGCACGACAAAACCTGGAAAAATACTTCCGGTTTTGCCGTCCACATATCCCAAAGGATATTTAACCGGAGGTGAACGTATTTTCGTGAGTGACAAGTTTGTATGAAGTCTAGTTAAGGATGGAGTTTTCAAAAGGTAATTACTATTATAGAAGCAAGTCTTTGGGGGCTTGTGTCACTAGGAAATTGCCTTTTTAGGTAATGGCTAATATTATCCATCAAATAGTAATAGCATATTGTTAAAGGTTTTTGTGATTGCTTGCCCATCTAAAAATGCAATGCTCTAGGAAAGATGTAGCAAGATGTTTGATGAATTCTGAATTAAAATGGTTTAAATTATGAGCTGAAATCCGAGGTTGGTAATACAGTGGTACCTCGGTTTAAGAGCAGCCCGGTTTATGAACTGTTCAGTTTACGAACTCCGCAAAACCAGAAGTAGTGTCCCAGTTTGTGAACTTTAGCTCAGTCTAAGGACAGAAGCCGAATGGTGGAAGGGCACTGGCGGCGGGAGGCCTCATTAAGGAAAGCGCGCCTCGGTTTAAGAACAGACTTCCAGAACGGATTAAGTTCGTAAAATGAGGTACCACTGTACCTGTGTTAAGGTAAATTAAGGGAAAAGCCAATCAGAGTTCACTCTTGTCAGAGCTGTTTTCCTGGCAAAACAATTCAGTAGTTCACTTCTATTTCTATGATGTGATCAGTTTTTTTATGTTTCCATTTAAAAGTGTGGTATGTGAAAATACTTTTCTAGTGTAAAAGTACATTAAGAACAACAACAGAAAAACAGAAGATATTTCACATTTGCGTTGTTAGCTATCCATTTTCTGCTGCTTTCTGACTCCAAAGTGATTATTAATGAGATAGTTGTATATTCTTATTCTGACAGTGCACAACAAATATTCCTCTTCTATAAGGAACCGTTTTACATTAAACAGAAAAAAATGAGAAAAAAGCTGTCTCTGAAATACAGAAATATGAACTGTTGCTCAGAACCTTATTGCAGTAGTGAAATGTCTTCAGTACCTGTTTTTAGCAGAAACATTTCTAAAAATCTAATCCATTAATAAAATGTTAATGGGGAAAGCAAAACTTTGGTTATGGGGTAAAGTAAAAATATATAAGTAAAAATTAATTAGCAAGGAGCAGTCAGTGTTCATCTTAATCTTTTAATAGATATTTTAGGGTAATTAAATAAAGGTTACATCAGCATATGGAAACTTATCAGACTGGTTTTCAGATTGTATGAAACAAAGGTGCTAATGCCTTGTGAAGATTAATATATGCTATGTATGTATCATGAATGATGTAAGAAAATTGTTAATAACCCTCCTACACATTTGACAGTTTCATTAAAAAAACTCTGGGGTCAGTTAGATCCTAGTCATATTCAAATAACTCCAGCCATTATGAAAACACTAATTAGCACATTGCTGCATCAACATAAAACACTGTAGGTACTTTCTTGCCGTTTAGTTACTTTATTCATATCTTTGTATGTTTTTGAGTTGAATGAACAAACATAGCAGTAAGATATTAGGAATCTGCAAGATCCCTTAGGAATTAACATTCAGATTCATTCTCGATCCTAATGACAACCCCATTGATCCTTTCGAAGGAAGGGTGGGATATAAATAAAATAAACCAATTAAATAAATAATCCCTGGATAGTTGTACCTCTATACTTACAAACAATAGTTGTATAATTATTTCATACTTGTAACACCACGTTTGGTAATTGTAAAGCTTTTTTAAAAAACCAAAAACTTAATTTGGATCCACTTGACCCTAATCTCAGATTAGTAACCTGTTGTTGTTTTTTTCTTCTTCATGTGGAATGGTAAATACCATGTGTGCCCTTCCTGATGAAAATTACCCAGCTGTTGTCCTAACCATAAAGCATAGTGAGCCAGCCTCGGGCAACAGATTTTGGAAGCAGTAGACCTGTTTTTGAATGACTGTTTTTGAAAATAATTTTAAAAGTTGTTCAAGTGTTCTCAGAAACGCCTCTAGAATGTATATGCTCAATGCCTTTCTCTTGAGTTGCTTCTCCAGAAAGAGAGAGGCAAGCAGGAGTGACTTCTTGGTGGGCTCAACAGGAGAGAAGATAGTGACTTGGTCCTTTCATCTCAAGTGCTGAAATGGCTAGAGAAGACATTTAGCAACCTGACAGATTTTCCAGTTCTGTAGACGGTTTTAAACTGAAAGGAAACAGTGCTACCTGTTAAGTTTTGTCAAGACCATCCATGCTTTCATTTGTTGCTATGTTAGGTGAGCCCCCTCCTTTACTTTGCATGAGGCAGTGGCAAATTTGGCAGGAAAGTAAGCAGTTTCCACTTACACTTGCTGACCCTATTGCTGGGTAGAGGGAGAAAAGAATATGAATACCAATGGAAAGTTCCCCAAGCAAGGAAATGGAGCTGGGCAGTTTTTACACATAGAACTCTTAACACTGTGATGCAGAATGAGTTAATGGAATGAATAGTAATCTATATATGCAATATCAGAAATAAATGGTAGCCAGCTAAATTGTTATTTTAGAGGCTGTTGAGTTTTTAAAATATTGCGGTGTACCCCCAGTGCTTGAGAGGAGTGCTTCTGTTATGAAACAAACCTTGTAACCATTTTTATTAACACCCCTTAAGCCAGTGGTGGCGAACCTTTGCCCAAACTGCAAAACCGAAACCCACGTATTTATCATCTCCCTCCCTCTTCCCCCCTTGTGCCGGGCGCACTCCCCAGCGAGCTGGCTGGCTCGCTCTTGGGCTACTGCGATGGGGAGGACGGAGCAGCCCTGAGACCAGGTGAGCAGGGGCGGCCAGGAGGAGAGGGATAGCCCCCAACCCAGCCAGCCAGCCCAACAGCCAAGCCCGCCTGCCTGCTCTCCACCCGTGATCCCGGCGTGGTCTTCCCCATCTTCCTCCCTTCAGCAACGTCGCCGTGGCAGAGGGGTGAGGTTGGGTTGGGCCAGGCATGCAGAGAGACGGCAGGCGCAGGTGCCCTCCTAGCCCAGGTAGGTCAGGCCCACGGGGGGTGAGGGGCCTGCAGAGGATTGGAGCTGCGGGGGGCAAAAGGGAATGGGCAAGGCCTGGCTTGGAGGGGGGAGCTGGGGACTACCACCCAGCACCGGAAAAAGTGCAGGAAAAAATCACAAGGGTCAAATAACGAACACTGCTCTGCCCAATCAGAAACAGCCACTGCCGCAACCAATTGAAAAACAGACCAATCGCCGAACAGTAGCAAAAAAAAAAAAAAAGTTCTGGGTTTAAGCAGTGGATGCACGCAGTAGCATGGGGAAGAGCGGGAGCACAAATGGAAAAAACAACAAAACAGTGTGGATGGGCCGATGACGCGCGTGCCAGCAGTGAGAGCTCTGTGTGCCCACTCTGGCACGCGTGCCATAGGTTTGCCACCACTGCCTTAAGCTATGGAGTGCAGAAGGGCACAGGATCCAGACTGGCTGTTGGCCCTAAACCTGAATGCTTTAATGGTATATAGTGTGTGTGAGGAGGATGGAGTCTCCATTTTGCTTCCAAACGGAAGATAATCACGCAGATTTGCTATTGGAGGCAATGATTATTGATGTTTACACAGTACTTTAAAAAATATTTTTATATTTGTTATAAAACTTTGCTCTAATAGATCTCAATTCCTTCTACTTTGTATTACAATTGTTCATGCTTCATAGGGGCCATTGAGACTTGTTCTCCTGTACTCAAGGCCAGGAATGTTTGTGTGTGTGACCTGAGGAAAGGATATGGCAGACATTTTCCCTTCTTAAGTCAAGCTGGGAGCGCTTTGTTGAGATTGACCACGAGTGCTATTCCTCTGCGCAAAGGAGTTTACACCTCAAATTCTCTCCCATCTTCCACTTGCATAGCAACAGAAATAATCAAGCATTGGGGAATCCTGTTTATCAGAAAACTTAGTGCCTATGGGGTTAGCTGATAAAATGCCAAGCAGTGGCAGTATAATGGATCAGAATAGGTGGATCAGAATAATCCAAACTCTGTTTTTCTTTTTCTTTTTAATGATTCAGGAAGGTCCTTCCAATTAGCATGTATTAAATGTCACTGGCAGATTAGACATTGTGCGGAACGTAGCAACGTACTGTTCACATTTAGGGAATGCTCAAACCGTGGTTTGGAGGATTGGGAATAAACCTTGGGCTCATGCAGGGGTGGGGAACCTTTTCAGTCTGAGTGCCTCGTTCCTTCATGCTTAGCCTTATGGTGGTAGTGCTTGGGGACAGGGGCAAAATGGGTGTGACAAAATTGGGTGGCGCAACAGGTGCAACTCTAGTCTTGGAACTGTAGGCTACAGTCCAGTCATGCAAAGTTCAGGAGGTTTTGGAGTTACTCATATCAAGCCAACTTCATTTTTTTTTAAGCACACTTAAGTGACGAGTTTTTACAAGCCATCAAATGTATGGATGTTATGACATTAGCATAGGAGTGAGGTTGCCGCTTTTTCTTGTTTGGAAGTACAGTGGTACCTCGGTTTACAAACTTAATCCATTCCAGAAGTCCGTTATGAAACTGAGGCACACTTTCCCTAATGAGGCCTCTCACCGCCGGTGCCCTTCCACCATTCGGCTTCCGTTCTTAGACCAAGGTAAAGTTCACAACTTGGACACTACTTCCGGTTTTGCGGAGTTTGTAAACCAAATAGTTTGTGAACAGGGCTGTTCTTAAACCGAGATACCACTGTAATAGTAATTATTGCCTTCATCAATGATTGGCATTATTCTAGTATTCTAGTCTATAAGAAGGGAGGTGCTTCTTTTAAGAATTTTGTTTCCTGGAACCACATGTTGTTCTGTTATTTCTGACAGGAATGCCCAAAGAGAAGTACGATCCACCTGACCCACGGAGGATGTACACAATTATGTCCTCAGAGGAAGCAGCCAATGGAAAAAAGTCACACTGGGCAGAGTTGGAAATAAGTGGTAAGTGGAGAGTTATTGGATACACGAGAGTAGCATGGCAAATAGTCTGGTATTGTGTGGTTTTTTTTTAAAAAAAAGTGTTTTACTTAGTTTTATTAAATGTTTCAGCACAACAATGTGGTTTAAAATCCAAAGCAATTTGATGGCTGATTCGATTAGAAATTTTGAACAGGCAGTGGGAAAATATGTGGAGCCCACCCAGGAATTAAATCAGGAGTGTGCCCTGACAGAACAGGCCCAACAGGAATATGAGCTTCTGGATTTGACAAATGAACTTGTAAAAAGCCAGATTTGGAAAGAAAAAGTTTGGTTTGGTTTGGAAATGGGGGGTTGGATAGACCCTCCTATGCAGGGACGTTTGGACTTTTCAAGTCTGGCAATGGGCCATGAGATGTTTGGGATTGTGGGGGCTCTCAATTTTGGAGGGATTTTGAAACATGTTTTTAAATACCACATGGAATTCAGTGTCGATTATGGAAAAGGGGCTGATCTGTCGAGAAGGGTCAAAAATATTGCTAAGCTGGAGTTCCCACGAGTGAAACGAGTAGGAGACAAGGGAAAATACAGTTACAAATATGAAGAAGAGCTGTGGAAGGGACATGGAAGAGACTTAAGGGCCTCGGATATAAGGTTACCAGGTTAATGCGCCAGATCGATGGGATAATAAGGACTGACAGAACCCGGGACCAGGAGAAAGGGACGCTGGATGAAGATTGGATTTGTTTTTATTTCTTTTTTTCACTATTAGGACTGTTTTATAAAATTGATGAATGTTAGAAAAATGTTGGAATGAAACTACTTGGCTTTAGTAAAAATGTTTAAAGAATTATGCAAGAATATTATGGTTATGAGAAGTTGGTAAAAATAAGATTTAAGTTTTAAGTTTCAAGGTTTTCTATAGTAAGATAAGATTAAAATAGTTTAAGGTAATGTAATAACAGAATATTATGAAATATGGAAAGGATTTGCTGTGACAATTAACAACCAGGATACAAGGAAGGGGAGGAGGAGGAGGTCAAGGAAAGAGGGTAATGACAGTTGAGGAGTTGAGAATAATGGATTTGTTTGTAAATGTTTGTGGTGTATTTTATTTTTTTTTCTCTCTTATTTTGAATTTGTATATGTATGGTTGGAAGTGGCTTGTTTTTCTCTTTTTCTACTTTGTTTTTCTTTTGTAACTTAAAAAAATTTTTTTTTCAATAAATATCATTTAAAAAAAAAATCCAAAGCATGTTAATTTTTTAAATTTCAGTATCGTAATTAAATTTGTCACCCTTTGTCAAACATAGTGTGAAAGCCTCTTTTGCTTTGTAAAAGACTGAATCTGTGCAAAAAATCTGGCTTTTAAAAACATCCAAAACTGCAGTCCAATACACATTTACCTAGAAGTAAGTCTTATTGAACCTGATGGCACTTACTTCTGAGTAGACATGCAGAGGATTGCATTGTAAATTGCTGAAATACTTGTGGAAATGAATGCTGTAAATTAAATAGATGAAGAATTCTTTCTCTCTTCTGTTTTGAGTTTACTTCCAATCTGGATCCTGCCCACAATGTCTTCTGAATCTTCCTGTCTACATGCTTGCTGACAAGCAAAAAAATAAATCTGAAAGCTTGATGACTGAGAACTTCACTTTGCAGAAATTACATTCTCTTGAGCAACTTTTATTATAATGGTTGTGGATATGGTAATGCTTCGTATCAGTTTACCCAATACTAGGCTGAATAGTCTGTTATTTCCTGATTCCCTTTTTCAAATAGTGGTATGTTTTTTTGTCTTCCCAATTCCAGCCTCTCATAAGGTCAGAATTTTGCATACTTAAGTTCTTTAAGAGCTTTCAGGTATATGCCATCCAGACCAAGGTTTTAACTGGTAAATCTCTTATTCTCTCTTTTTTTTATTTTACGTGTAGATTTAAAAGACCTTCACATTTTGTCCTGGAGGCATTTCAGTTCTTTAAAACTGATCCTCTAATGTGTGTGTGTGTGTGTGTGTGTGTGTGTGTGTGTGTGTGTATTAAAAAAAGAAAATTTCCTCTTTACAGGCAACTTACCATTAATATATATGTTGAATTTGATAGCACCGTGTTCACTGTTTTCCAATTGATTCAACAAAACTCCCATTTCTCAGCCAATTGTGGATACCTCTTTCCATTCATGTCCAAGGTCTCTTCCCTCCTAGTCAATTCCATGTTCAAGGACAGCCATCTATTACATCTAGACATGTTATGTGTTGCAATTTTGAATGTAGTCCATGTGAGGGTAATTGTAGCCATTGATTATTACACTTTCTCCTTTATGTGATTTCATTCTCCATCACTTTTGGTCAGGGGAGGGACATTGCATCAGTGCTGCAATCAAATTCATATTTACATAATGTGACTTATGATCTATTCTGCTTTTTGACATTCTAATTAACACTACCCCAACATGGCCTTCCTTGTTCTTTCTGTATATAAAAGGATACCTCAATGATTGTCATCTTCCTAACAGGTTCCCTTAATGTTGCAACAGCAACATTCTGTTTTAGTACTATGCACCCAGGTTTTTCTCCCCCTGCCTTTGCTTAAAAGCCTCTAGCATTAGAATATAAAAGGCTATATATACATACATTTCCAAAACACCTTTTTGTATGCAGTTTATCCAACAATTCCTTTTTGTCTCTTAAAATCACTGTTATTTTTGTCCTGATAATTTCTAAGCTCTCCATATCCCCTAGTTTAGCCACCTGAGAGTTCCTAAAAGGTGAATCATCCTGAGCCAGATGTTCACCAGCTCCTGTTGTTTTCCCCTCAGAAATCAGTTTAAAAACTGCTTTGCAACCTTTTTGATGTTAAGAATCAGCCATTTACCCCTGATCTTTAGTTTCTGATTAGAAACATAATAAATGATATATGCTGATTTACTGTGCTTTGGCAATTAGCCTATTAGTCAAGTATTCTGTAGGTACTGGTGTAAAGATCTATAAATCTCAAAGGCAGCAAGTTGTCCATGCATGCAGGTATTTTATTCTGGTATCAATGAGTCCAGTGATATTTATTGAACTCAGTACAGAGGTTGTTCTACCAAAATGTAATGCCAGATCCTTTAAAAAAAAAAAAGATTCTGGAACCTTGGATTTTAAAAAAAGAATCTGATTCTGTTGGGAGATTTCTTAGCATTTCGAAATATGTATCTTTCTCTTTTGCGGATGAATTAGTACCTGTTGTCTAGATCAGGGGTTCCCAAATGGTGGTGATGCACAAACTTTACTCAAGTGGTCTGCAGCAAGTCTGTAAATACAATTAAATATCATAGAGTATCTAATATAACACATTACAGTTGCTACAACATGCAGAAAAATCATAAAGTGGTCCATCAAGACCCTCAACGATTTTCAAGTGATCTTGGGGGAGGGGGGAGTTTGGGAACCTGTTGATCCTGCTTCCCTTACCTCTGATTTCTGCTTTATTATGAAGAAGCATTTGATCACTTTTGAAGCACAAAAGCCTTGAATTCCCATTTCCATAGTGCATCACAAAACTAAACAAAAACGGTGGCGAGTTAAATTTTTGGGCATATATTTCAAATGTATCTGTTGAAATACATTTTAAAATAAAAGACAATTGAGTTGGTGTTTTGGTGGCTGAATTGAAAAGTACCTAACAAAAAAAGGGGAAGGAGATAATTGCAGAAACTGTTTTGCTGTTTTGATTCATTTGCAGAAGTACTTTCACAAATGCAAGACGAGACAGAAAATGTTTCCCTCTTGTCTTTCAGGGAAAGTAAGAAGCCTAAGTTCATCCTTGTGGTCACTGACCCACTTAACAGCTTTGCATCTCAGTGACAACTCCTTATCCCGTATTCCTTCAGACATTGCCAAGCTTCACAATCTGGTATATTTGGACCTGTCATCTAATAAAATCCGCAGTTTACCAGCAGAGCTCGGAAACATGGTGTCACTCAGGTAAACAAAATGCATCTGTGAGGCCAGTATGATGTTATTCAGGTTTCTGTATGGTTTTGTATTGCAGTTTAGTAGTAGTAGTAGTAGTAGTATTTATTATTATTAAGCAGAAAGCTATCCCACGTTAGCTTCTTGGCTGATTTATTTCCAATTTGTATTGCAATCTTTCTGCCTTCTGGTGCTTGGGGAGGGCTGAAATATATTGGTGTTCGCTTCTGAACCTGCTCCAAATTTCAGGAGTATATTGCCCAGCTATTCAGAAAGAGGTTAAAGTTCCATTTTAGGCTCTTAGCTTGCTTTATGGCTGCTCGGATAAGGAGTCAATTTGAACCTGGATGACTGGTTTCAAACTCCAAAGTTTTTCTAAAAATATATGTCCTTTATGGGAATAAACAGCTGTTCATATTTTTGTTGCTTATTTGAAGTGTTACATTTCCTAAATCCCAATTTGCCATCCTGAGTTCTCTCTTCATGAAATCCTGTAATCTTGTGTGTAATGTGTTCCCCTGAAAAAAATGATAAATCCACTTACTTTAATGGTTCTTTTTCCTGCTGGCTTATTGGTAATCCCCATGGCAAGGTTAAAACATTTCTAAACAAGGATAAAAGCAGCATCCACCTTGATATTCAATGCAATACATAAAGGAGTGGTATCATATTGGTCATAATAAGTACAGTCACATAAATTTCATAAAGCCTACTATTTTAATTTGTGTGTCATTATTGTGATGCTTTCTCAAAGTTGCTACTAGCAGCTTTCTGAAACTGTTCCGTTATGTGTTACCATATCATTCTTACATGCATCTGGTATTGGAAGAAGGTGCCAGTGCTGGACAGTCCAGCTTTTCATACTAAGTGGTTTGCAAGGGTACTTTGACACAGAACCCATGGGCCACACACTGCCTTGTAATGTGGGAGGTGGGAAGTGGGGCCAAAATTTGACCACCACCAGCCCAGCCCTTGTGCTGCCTTCCCAAAACTGGCTAACAAATGTGCTGGGCTTTGGGAAGGAGGTGTAAGGCTCTGACAGGCTCCTAGAGCCCCACCACCACCTTCCGAAAGCTGGGAAAGCACTAATTAGGCTTTGGGAAGGAGGATGGAGGACTCTAGGACCCTGGCAGAGTCTTCATGCCTCCTTCCCAAAGCCCACCATCTTGCTTATCCAGCTTTGGGAAGGCAGGTGCAAGAGGACTGCAGTTGGGAGCATCAAAATGTTGCTGAGGGCCACCAAAAAAAGTCCTCAGGGAGTGTGTTGGATTGCCTTGTGCCAGTGTATTCTTCATTTTGCTGCAAGGAGATGTCTGGCAGTCTACTAAATGTTTCCACTGCATGAAATGCTGAATGAATGGTGAGGAGAAAAGAGGATCAAAGAAGGAAGAAAAGTCTTGTTTCACCTCACCCTCCTCTCGCCCACCTTGTCTCTCACCTCCTGTTTCTATGCCTTCTTCACAATGTGGGGAAAGACAAAATTATTGTGGGGGCGGGGGAATTGTGCTCAGTAGAGGAGCACTTCAGGGTGTGTTTCTACAGAGGACTAAGCAGACCCTCACTTATTAGTTTGGGGGCCAAGGTAGTTGAAAGTGCCTAGCTGATCTAGGCTCCTAATCCAGTCCCTGAGAGGATGGCACAAGGGCAAAGGTGTCCTCTAGATGCTGTTGGACTCCAGCTTCCATCAGCCCTGGTCATTATTCTTGTTGCTAGGAACTCAACAACATCTAAAGGGTACCACACTAGGGAATAGGACACCTGTGTGCTTCAAAAGGCTGAGGGTTGGATATATTTCTTGGGGGCATGAAGGAACGTTCATCCGTAGTACTCTCCCTTTTGTGCTTACTTAGCTAAGCAATTTTTAAAAGAAGGTAGAGAGTCTCTGCAGTTGACAGAAGCCTCTGATTCTACCTAATAGCCCAGTTTTCAAATGGTCGTAGGAGGTGATTATGACTAATAAAATGTGAGTTGGAGTCCTTTCATAGATGTTCTTAATGAGCAAAGCTACCTGCTTTCACTTTTATCTCTTCAAGAGTTAGGTTGCTGACTGCCTGGTAAACAATCTTCTCTTACCTAGCAGGTTTTCTTAAAAAAAAAAAAAACCTCAATAGTATATCAGAAGGCTAAAACTATAAAATAGCTCAACTTTGTAGCTGCTTGTGATGAAAAGAAGCTCAGGAAATTGTGATTTCAGTGAACTGAGCAATGAATTAAGGCGGGGGATGGGGTGGTAAAGAACCCCAGTAGCTTTCTTATAGTTAGCATATTTCTTATAGTAACCACCTTACATTATTTTGTTTAGTAATTTTGACTGTAGGAGTACTTTCTCCATAGTTTTACTTCATTAATGGTTTAACAAGTTTATGTTTAGAAGATGTGCTAGTCAGTTTGCTTTAATTTATCATTGTCTTTAACTACTGCAAAATCAATAATCTTTGCTGTTCAGTTTTCCATTGCTTTTGAAATGTGCTATGTTAGCACAGTTTCTCTTTTGTAATGAAACAATTTTCATTTAAAACAATTAACTGTATATATCTTACTACTTTTGTCTTCATGTGACTTGCTAATAGGGAACTCCATTTAAATAACAACCTGTTACGAGTCCTACCATTTGAGCTGGGAAAACTCTTTCAGTTACAGACGTTGGGTTTGAAAGGTATGAATTTTAACTATTTCCCCCATGCCCTTTGTTTGCAATTTTCAGTTGATCTCATTCCTCAGCCAGCCATCACTTTCAAGCTGACATTTTAAGAAATAAAATTACTACCTGAACTAGAAATGGCATACTAAGATTCAGGCACTTTGAAATTATGATTTTTACAAATTTCTCTAAACTGCAATTGTTTTGAAAAACATTTTCCACCTTTATAAGAAGTTCAGTTAATTTTACTGTTTCTTTTTGCCTGTACAACCATAGAGTCCATATTTGTGTGTGTGTGTGTGTGTGTGTGTGTGTGTCTGGTTCTTTCTCTTCTCTTCTCCCCCCACCCCCACCACCACTCCAGAGTGAGAGTCTGAGATTTTCAGCAAAAAACAGTTTCCTGAACTAGACACTTTAGAAATAAAAACCTCATGATGTTCTTGAGGTCTCATTTTCTCACCCTCTTCCCCAAACATTTCTACAGGAAACCCACTTACACAGGATATACTGAATCTCTATCAAGAACCAGACGGAACAAGAAGGCTACTGAATTATTTGCTTGATAACCTGGCAGGTACTGCAAAAAGAAGTAAGTAGTGACTTCCTAGAACACTTATTTGTGGCATGTAAAATAAATATCATTATCTCATTATTATTATTATTATTATTATTATTATTATTATTATTATTTTGTCTTCTGCAAATAGTTTCAACAGAACAGCCACCTCCCAGATCTTGGATTATGTTGCAAGAACCAGATCGAACAAGACCAACAGGTAGAACTGAATAAATCTGTGCTTTCTTTCCAGTCAGTGAAATTTTGTATTACCTTGCCTGTGCATCTTCTTTCCATTTCACTTTGTTTTTTATAGCAAGTAGCATAGACATTTTAAGGGGGAAGTCATATATGTTTAGAAATTGAAACATCTTGCGTTTCTCATTCTTTCGAAAATATTCTATATTTATTGAAATTTTCAAAATATTACAAAATAAAAATAAAAAAGAGAAAAATACAAAATAAAAATAGTTAAAAACAACTCAATCTTTCCATTACTTATTTTTCATTAGCTTATTTCCCGGACCTCCTCACGCCTCCCTTTTTTGTATTCCAGTTCGGTTTGTTGGTTCAGCAAATCCTTCCCCTCTTTGATTATCCAAGTCTTTAATCTTAAAGTATTGTAACATTAAATTTTTACCTGTTAGTAATCCATTTTTCATATTCCCTTATAGTATTACAGCTAGAAACCACTTACTTTCTATCCAACATCATTCTAACATTCATTAATTTTACAATATTTCTGTAAATAGGCTTTAAATTTCTTCCAATCTTCTTCCACCGACTCTTCTCCCTGGTCTCGGATTCTGCCAGTCATTTCCGCCAGTTCCATATAGTCAATCACCTTCATCTGCCATTCTTCCAGAGTGGGTAGATCTTGTGTCTTCCAATACTTTGCCATGAGTATTCTTGCTGCTGTTGTGGCATACATAAAAAAAGTTCTGTCCTTCTTTGGCACCAATTGGCCGACTATGCCCAGGAGAAAGGCCTCTGGTTTCTTCAAGAAGGTATATTTAAATACCTTTTTCAATTCATTATAGATCATCTCCCAGAAAGCCTTAATCCTTGGGCACGTCCACCAAAGGTGAAAGAATGTACCTTCAGTTTCTTTACATTTCCAACATTTATTATCGGGCAAATGATAGATTTTTGCAAGCTTGACTGGTGTCATGTACCACCTGTATATCATTTTCATAATATTCTCTCTTAAGGTATTGCATGCCGTAAACTTCATACCTGTGGTCCATAACTGTTCCCAGTCAGCCATCATTATGTTATGTCCAACGTCTTGTGCCCATTTAATCATAGCAGATTTCACCGTTTCATCCTGAGTATTCCATTTCAACAGCAAGTTATACATCTTTGATAAAGTCTTAGTTTTGGGTTCTAACAGTTCTGTTTCTAATTTTGATTTTTCCACCTGGAAGCCAATTTTCTTGTCCAAATTATATGCCTCCATTATCTGATAATAATGAAGCCAATCTCGCACTTTATTTTTTAGTTTCTCAAAACTCTGCAGTTTCAATCTGTCTCCCTCTTGTTCCAGAATTTCCCAATATTTCGGCCATTTGGCCTCCATATTGAGCTTATTTTCAAGTAAATCCTTATATCTTATCCAGACATTAAACAATGCTTTCCTGACAATATGGTTTTTGAATGCTTTATGTGCTTTGACCTTGTCATACCACAAATATGCATGCCACCCAAAAACATTATTAAAACCTTCTAAATCCAAAATGTCTGTGTTCTCAAGAAGCAGCCATTCTTTCAACCAGCAGAATGCTGCTGATTCATAATAAAGTTTAAGGTCTGGCAGGGCAAATCCACCTCTTTCCTTTACATCAGTTAATATTTTAAATTTTATTCTGGGCTTCTTGCCCTGCCAAACAAATCTAGAAATGTCTCTCTGCCACTTCTTGAAACAGTCCATTTTGTCCAAGATTTGCAATGATTGAAACAAAAATAACATTCTTGGCAATACATTCATCTTTATAACAGCAATTCGACCTAACAAGGAAAGCTTCAAGTTTGACCATATCTCTAGATCCTTTTTCACTTCTGACCAACATTTCTCATAATTGTCTTTAAATAGGTTTAAGTTCTTAGCGGTCATATTAACCCCCAGGTATTTTACTTTCTTAGCCAATGTTAAACCTGTCTCCTTCTGAAACCTCTCTTTCTCAATCGGTGTTAAATTTTTCTCAAGCACCTTAGTTTTTAACTTGTTCAACTTAAATCCTGCCACATGACCAAATTCCTGAATCAATTCTAATACTCTTTTAGTACTAGATTCTGGCTCCTGTAACGTCAATACTAAATCATCTGCAAAAGCTTTCAATTTGTACTGTTTGGCTCCGACCTGTATACCTTTGATCAGACGGTCCCTTGTGATCATATTTAGCAGAACCTCCAGGACCGAAATAAAAAGCAATGGGGAAATTGGGCAGCCTTGTCGTGTCCCTTTCTTATCTTAAATTCCTCTGTCACCACATTGTTAACTATTAGTTTAGCCTTTTGTTCTGAATAAATTGCAGTTATACCATTTTCAAACCCTTGACCAACCTCCATCCCCTGAAGATTTTTCTTCATGAAACTCCAAGAAATATTGTCAAAGGCTTTCTCCGCATCTACAAAAATTAAAACTGCTTTAGTATTAATATTCACTTGCAACTTCTCCAAAATGTTGATTATATTCCTCGTGTTGTCAGACAAGTGTCTACCCGGGAGAAAGCCAGCTTGGTCTTTATGAATCTCCTCCACTTATACCTTTTTTAACCTTTTAGCCAAAATATCTGCAAAAATTTTATAATCCACATTAAGCAGGGATATGGGGCGGTAGTTCTTAAGTTGTGTCTTTTCAGACTCATTTTTCGGTATTAGTGTAATATAAGCTTCCTTCCACGACTCTGGCGCTTTTTTCCCCTCCAAAATTTCATTACAAACCTCCTTTAGTGGTTGAATTATCCAGTCCTTCAAGGATCTATAATATTTTGAGGTTAAGCCATCTGGCCCTGGAGATTTGCCCAACTGCATGTTCTGGATGGCACCTTCCACCTCCTGTTCTGTTATTTTATAGTTCAACATTAACTTATTTTCTTGAGAGATTTTTTGTAGTCCGTTTGTTTTTAAGAATTGGTCTAAATCAAACTCTTTCTGTGGCCCTTGTGTATATAACTGTTTGAAGTACCTCTGGAAGCATTTTCTAATTTCCACTGGATTCTGGATGTTCTTTCCTTCCACTTCCAAGTTGGTAATGGTGTTAAGTTTTTGTCTTTTTTTCATTTGCCAAGCTAACAGTTTTCCACATTTATTGGCCGATTCAAATGTCCTTTGTCTCATCTGTTTAATTTTCCATTCTATTTCCTGATTCATCATCTTCATATATTGAACTTGGTATAACTTTATTTCTCTCAGAATCTCTTGTGACTTTGGTTTCGCTCTCAGTTTCTTCTCACCCTCTTTTATTTTTTCCAAAATTTTATCTTTTTTCTCATTTTGAGTTCTCTTCTTTATTACATTCTGTTGAATTAGAAACCCCCTCATAACTGCTTTGCTTGCGTCCCAGATTACTCTTTTTCGATGGTGGTGTTCATATTTATCTCAAAATAGTCTCTCAAGGTTTTTTGGGCCTTCTTGGTAACCTCTTGATCTCTAAACAAGGTGTCATTCATCCTCCATCTGAAGGAACCGGTAGGTGTTAATTTCATCTCCATTTTCACAGCATTATGGTCGGAGCAAGTTTTAGGGCAAATTTCCACTTTTCGAGTCTTAGGTGCCAGTCCTCTAGTTATCCAAATTTGGTCAATTCTTGTCCATGTCATTTTGGCTTCAGAGAAGAAGGTTCCCTCTCTGCCCAAGGGATTCTTTATTCTCCAAATGTCAATCAAGTCCATATTGTCAGTCATCTCAAAAAAGGTTTTTGGTAGTCTGCCATCTTTGGTAACTACCTGTCTCTGCGACTTGTCCATGTTTGTAGATACCACTCCATTCATATCTCCCATCATGATAATGTTGTAATCCATATAGTCTAACAATGTCTCATGCAACTTCTTAAAAATTCAGATTTCCCCTCATTTGGTGCATATACTCCTACTATCAAAAATTTTTCTCCTTGTGTTTGGATTTCAATTGCCACATATCTTCCTTGGTCATCTTTAAAAATAAATTTCGGTGATAGGCTCTCTTTCGCGTAAATTACTACTCCTCTCTTTTTGACCTTGTCCGATGAAATAAACTCTTGACCCAATCATTTATTAATCAGTACTTTCCTATGAAGCCTTATCACATGTGTTTCCTGCAAGCAAATCAAGTCCAATTGTTCCTTTTTCAGTAAATGAAAGACTTTTTTCCTTTTCTCCGGGGAGTTAAATCCATGAATATTCCAACTTAATAGTTGCAGGGACATGGTGTATTTATTTTGCTTTTCCTCCAACTGCGCCAAGTAATTGTTCTTGTTCTGTCGGTGGTGTCACCTTCTCTAACTTGTCCAATCCCAAAGGTAGTGGTACTATGTCTTGTATTCCTGGTTTTAAAGCTCTTAGCTCTTCTTCAGCTTCTTTTTGCAGGTCTTCTCCGTGTTCTTTCAGAAATTTTTCTTTATCTTCCACTGATCTTATTTTAAACTTTTTCCCTTTAACGGTAAAAGATAGGCCTTGGGGGAATTCCCACCTAAAAATGGTTCTGTTTCCTCTTAACAGGGCCACCAGATCTCCATAGTTGGACCTGAGATCCAAAAGATGTTTAGGGATGTCCTTAAATATCTCCACTCTTGATTCATTTATTTCCAAGGTCTTCTGGAAGTGCAGACTCAATATTCTGTCTCTCTCCTCTCTTGATCGGAGGGTAATCAAACAGTCTCTCACCCTGTTCTTTCTCCCCCCTCTTCCAAGTCTAAAAATATTCTAAATACTACATTATAATGGCAGAAATATACTTTTTTAAAAAAGGGCATTTTCCCATATGTATATCCATTGTACTGTTTGGAAATCTGTAAAGTTGTCTGAATAAAAACACCACCACCAAAACTGAATGCTGTCCAAACGATGGCACAGCCATTCATGGCATCTTTAGAAGCAAATTATTAAAGAACATGAGTGGATGTTAAAATCAGAATTAAGTGAGGCCTCAAACCACGTAGATCCATTTTGTCATAATGGCAACCCAATCCTATATATCATGTTTGCTCACCAGTTAAGTGCTGAGTTTAGTGTGGCTTATGTCCTGGTACATGTGCATAGGATTGTAGCTTAGTTACGAAACAAAGCTTCAATTGATTTAGACCTGAAATTCAATAAGAGCTCCTAAGTAGTTTAAGGGTTACCCTCATCTTGGAAAAAGTTCTTTATATAAGCTGGCTTTATGCTGGCTACGGTAACAGCTATTGACCTTGTAGGGGAAGTTTTGTGCTTCATTCCAACGCAGATTGAACCAGTCCATTATATTGCATTGTCTGCCTATTTGGTGAATGGTGGAACTATCAACCTAGTTTCTAGAGAGAGAAAATCTAAATAATGCTGCATTATTATAGGTCAGCTGCTCAAATATATCTTGGAGCTAAAGTAAGCAAAGCCTAAAGCTGATCAACTTATTTAAAGGGAAAGGGGAAAATGTATGTTTAAAACAGACAATTTCTCTGTCTAAGTAAAACTCTCTTATACTGCAGCCCTGTTTTCTGTCATGTGTTACAATGTCCTCTGTGATAAATATGCTACTCGGCAGCTATATGGCTACTGCCCATCATGGGCATTGAACTGGGAATACAGAAAAAAGGCTATTATGCAGGAAATCTTAAGCTGTAATGCAGACATCATAAGTCTTCAGGTGAGAAATGACTTTGTTCTTTTTTGTTTATGTATGCACCCATTTTTAAATGTTTTTAACTGAAGCAATTTTCTTTCTGCATATAAGATGGGAATCATTACAAGACCCCTACAATATGCTCTTAAGCCTGCTCTGAGAACTATTTGGATGAAATTCCAATAATACAGTAAAATGAATAGGGGACTAGTAAAGGATGCCTATGAAGCTTAAATATTTGTTGTTGTCTTTACTCCCCACCCACCCAGTGAGAGTCGCTTCCTGATTTATCATGCCTGTGTCGAGATTCATTTGCTCTCCCATCTGTTAGAAGGCTGGGTTACGTGGCTGCAGATGATGTGCCAAACCAGCAGATGCAGTGAAAAGAGTTGCACAGCTTTTCTGCCAGGGATTACACGGGCCTTGAAGCAGAAAACAGGAATTAGGGTCAACCCTGCTGGCCAATAGACATTTCACCAAGCCAGGGAAATTCTGTTCTGTTTATTAAAGATCATAGCCTGTCATGTCTTTAAGAGCTTGAGGTGGGCAACAGTCGATCAAAAATGTATATAAAATATGTAAATTCCTGTTAAAATGGGTCACAACTCTGTCCAGGTATTTTCCCCTTTCCTCCCTTCTGTATGTTCCCCTCCTTCCATTGTCTTTTTCCTCCCTTCCGTTGTTGCTTAAAATACGCAGTTTCTTGCATGGTTGTTTTTCCTAGTGTTGTGGACATACTTCTGTCTCTGAACTAGTCTAGTGTGTATCTTCTGTTCTGATTACCTTTTCTGAAGGACTCTGCTAAACAATATTTTTATTGCATGTAGCAGAGTGTAACAGAGAATTTTGTGCATAGCAGAGAATTTTGGTGTTTAATATATTTGTACTGTAGTGTTCTCTGGAAGCTGTTGGTTCCTGCATCCAAGTTTGTGGAGGGGTTTCTACTAATTGCAGGTTCTCCAGCTGTTGAAGATAGTTGCATGTGGATGCCTTATATTTTTGCTCCTTGAGTTCTTAAAGCTGCCCATTTTGGTCACAGAAAAACTCAGTATTGCTACTAGTATTAAGTAACTGCAAGATTGTTTTTGCAGTTGTTAATGTACTCTGAATTATTTAATACAATGGCTGGGGTTCACTTAATGTTTGGCTCAAGATGATAATTTTGTGGAAAAGAGTCCAGTGACCATGGCATCTGATTTTCGGTGGGCTCCAGATTTAATAGCTTGGCAGGGATAAAGTTTAATTGCTATTTTTCAAACAAATATTTTTGTGGATTTGTACTATTACTGTTCTCAGCAGTCTTCTGCATTGGTCCTTTATATACCCTATAAACTTCCAGCTGTTCTACTTTTATATTTAGTTTAATTGCTTACTCCATCGTGTCCTCGGATATGTGGTGCCTTTTGAATTTTAGACTGTTTCCATCAGTCATTATTTAGATGGAGGAGAGGGGAAACTGCCAGATCAGCTGACAGTGTCTCTATGACTGTTCTTACTATTTCACTCATCCTGAGCTACATGCTTTGCAGGCATGCTAAAATGGCACATTTTATTCTGGACTGGCGTTGTGGCTTAATCCATTTCACAGTAATGTAATCTGATGACTTCTTGTTATATTGACATGGAGCATCCGCTGAGTGGAGTTTGAATCATGTGACACTTCTGCCGGCAGAAGGGGCTAGTTGACTTTTTTTAATAATCTGCTGTTTTTAATAATCTGCAACTGTCTTTTGAAATCAGGTGCATATTTTTATCTTTGAAAAGCACCGCTTCTCCCTTGGGTGCAACAGTATTGTTAGAAGCTCTTAGTGGCTCAGGAAACAGGAAGGTGTGTGTACTTGTGGTGTATTTATGGTGCATGTGTAGCACTGGTCACACCCATTGATGGCATGTGAGCCTCAAAGCCCTCTGGTCAAAAATGTTAGCTATTCCCGTGTTAGGCTCTCTATCCTGAAGGGAGGTACGCTGATGATGGATTCCTGCTGCTGCTTTGTTCCTACTGTATTGTATATGGTTGGCAGACAAGTCAGAGTCCCACATAAGCTGTTCTACAGAAAGGCATATGTCTACATACATATCAGTAAAATAAAATATAACACTAGTTCTTCTCTGCCATTATTTCAGTTGCTGTCTTTTCACATTATACTTTCTCAATGGACATAACTTCAGAGTCCTGCTTTAAAGGGGTATCCGTTGGAGACTTGAATTCATTTTCTTTTTAAAAGTTGCATTGTGCATTTGATAGTTCACCTAATTCTTGCACTGTCTTACATTTTAGGAGGTTGAAACTGAGCAGTACTACAGTTTTTTCCTAGCAGAATTGAAAGAGCGTGGATACAACGGATTCTTCAGTCCGAAATCCAGAGCTAGGACAATGTCAGAACAAGAGAGAAAACATGTTGATGGTTGTGCAATATTTTTCAAGACAGAAAAGTAAGATAAAACTTGTATCTTGTTCTCTGGCTACAGTGAATGAGGTTGCACAGCAACATCAGTTTTTAATCCTCTATGAAACCAGAGGCAGTCCTATAGCTTTGTTTTCAGTGTATTTCGTGTCATTATACTATAAAAATTCTTGTTGCAAAAGGATTATTTCAGTAATTTGGGGAGCCTATCAATACTTTGGCTGTTTAGGACTAGGTAACTTGAGTAGTAAAATTGTTCACTCATGAAATATGAATAAAGTCGTGGCCTCCTATGAATTCTCGTAATAGTTCACAGCTTTTGGTGGAATGATGAATAGTAATGGTTATATTTATTTAAGAAAATGTCTGCATGTTGGCTTGTATGTGTTCAAGCTTTTATGATGGCCACAGTTGTGGTAAGCTGTCACAGCCATTATATTCACATTGAGAAGTCTAGTTACCTAATTTCTGTCAGCTGTGCAGATAGAATATGTGAATCATATTGTGATAAAATGAAAAATACGGTGTTATGTGCAGATCTTGCTTTAAATTGATTTTATTGCTTTCAGGTTCACCTTGGTTCAGAAGCATACTGTTGAATTTAATCAGCTGGCTATGGCAAACTCAGAAGGATCAGAAGCAATGCTGAACAGAGTAATGACAAAAGACAACATTGGAGTTGCTGTGTTGCTAGAGCTACGAAAGGAGTTAATAGAAATGTCATGTAAGTGAATGCAAATCCAGTTTTCGACTGGACTCTGCAGCCATCTTCCGCATACCCTTTGCTGCTTTGGAAAAGAGTTGAGAACTGGTTTATCTACCAGTTCTGGTGACTGAAACTCATACCCAATGGATAGGAGAAGTCTCTACTTCTAACTTTGAGAACTTAGTGTGAAACTAAAAACATTCCAAGGAGATGCAGACAGTTGCTTAACCACAAAATTTGTTTTTGCCCACCACCACCACCTAAATTTTTTGCATACTGTTTAAGGTGTATGTGGAGTAGTCATGCTGCCCCAAACTGGAGAATGGTTTTTCATGCATCTACCTGTCAATACAACTTTTAAAATGTACTGTAAACCCCACCCCACCCTTTTTTTAAAAAGAAAAAATGGTTTTGATTTAAAAGGGTAGTGAAATGGGATCAAAGTGGAATGAGGAGATGTGAAGATTCTTGAGGCTAGAAAAAGATTTCTAAGTCATCACTATTTTCTCATCTCCGTGTCTGTGCTTTCCTACTGGCCATGATTTGTTCCTTTGACTGCCCTAGTATTTGCGCACATCTGCGGTAAAGATGCTGCTTAGCTTAGTATGGATGACAAACTGTATTTGCAGATAATGAATGTAGCCTCTATTTTCAGTTAAGTAAATACTAATACACTTTGTCACTGCAAACAGTATCTGTCTAGATTGCAGAATTCTTTTGTGTGGTACTTGTCTTTATTGCTGTATGGGGAAAGGGTAATGACTGACAAATACTGCAGTTAAAATGCATATTATGTCTGCTAGAAAATTGTAGATATAGTAGCTTAGAACTTATTTGCAGTCCATCACAGTAGCTGTTCATTATCATGTCGATAATGCAATAAAGCCAGCAGAGGGAGCACAGAGCCCTTTTTTGTTTTAAACTCATAAAATGGCTGGTTGAGATAAGGAATTCTGTATTTGTAAAGTCCCAGTTAATTACTGCTGATTAGTTTGATATATTTCTTTAGCAGTATTTTTAAAGCCCTTTTCACCAATGCAACCTATGTAGTGAAGTATCACTGCTGTTTTCTGAAGGGTTTTTTATTTCCCATTTTAGCAGGCAAGCCACACCCAGGAATGGATAAACAGCTGGTCCTTGTAGCAAATGCACACATGCACTGGGACCCGGAGTATTCTGATGTGAAGCTGGTTCAGACCATGATGTTCCTTTCTGAGGTAAAGAACATAATAGACAAAGCCTCTCGGAGTCTCAAGCCTGGTATTTCGGGAGAACATGCAACAATTCCACTTGTATTGTGTGCAGATCTGAATTCTCTGCCCGATTCAGGTAAGTGCAGCCATATTCCACTTGCTGAGGTGTTGTAACAATGCTTTTGTTGAAACTGCTGGAAGTTGAATAAAACTTGATAGTGAAAGAGGCTCACAGAGCCATTTTGAAGGCTGTGCAGAAATGAACTTGAGGGATGGCTCTCAGAGCTCACCAGCTGATAGACACTGAAAGCCCTCTTGGCTGCACTAGTGGGTTCCTCATGAAGGGGTCCCCGGCTCAGACTCCCTGTGTTCCCTGTGTGTGCCAAGAGAGAGTCTGCTTGCCAAGAAACAGTTGCATGCCCGCTTCAAGCTCTCAATTGTTCCATTGCAGGCATGTCTTTATTTGTCCACATATAATGGCAGGTGAGCATGATTTTGGGGAAACAGCCTCACAGGACAAATTAGGACCCCTGTGAGCTGGAAGTTTACCACCACTAAATCAGAGAAATCGAGCCTAACACTTCACCCTTAATCAAATCTTATGATCCCTAAATTGCAGCCAAGGGAGTGAGTGTATGGGGGGTGGATTGTACTATTGAGATGGATCATCCATCATGAATGTAATACTATTTAAGAGGGATAGGTTGCTTGTTGTTGTTTTTTAAAAAAAATTCCTTCACCCTAGGTGTGGTTGAATATTTGAGTACCGGTGGAGTGGAGACAAACCATAAAGATTTTAAGGAACTGAGATACAATGAAAGTCTCACTAACTTCAGTTGTAATGGGAAAAATGGAACCACCAATGGAAGGATTACTCATGGTTTCAAGTTGAAGAGTGCCTATGAGAATGGCCTAATGCCTTATACGAATTACACATTTGATTTCAAGGTGAGAGTTGAAATAAATTCCCATTGCACTATTACTGTTTTATTGCTTATTCAGCATAGGTGTGCAAGAAGTTTGATGAACTATTAAAACAAAAATGGAAGGGTTAGTAACAAATTAATTGTCAGGTTGGGGTAGTATTAAGTTTTGGAAGCACTTTCAAAGAGAAGAAAGCAGGCTGATAAAGGAAAAGGATGCTCTCCCAGTCACAGGAAACAGCACAACAGCAGTAGCCATTGCTTGCGCTTAAGAGGCCCATGGCCATGAGAAGGTCGTGACCAAAAGTTGCCTAACTTTACACAATAATTCCTAGGGGTAATATTGCCTCTTCAGAGGTATTAACAAGAAATATATGTGAGTCTCAGTGGAGCATGTGAACACCTTATGATGACTAACACTTTAAGAATTATCTCAAAGTTTCTCTCCTATCATTCAGTGAGTTTATAGCAGTTGACAGTAAAACAAATAACACATTTTTAAAAATCATTTATTTACATATTTATTTCCAGCTTTCTGAGGCAAGTTGTCATAAAGTATGTTACAATAAGTGTGTTAGCATCTAAATAAACAAGAACATGAAATCTACAGTGAAATCGAGGGCAAGGCAAAGCATAAATGACCATGAAAGGAGCTCATGTTGCAACAAGACTATCTTAAGCTGCCCCCAGAACACTAGAAGGGGTAATACTAAACCTACAGCCTGAAAAGGGGTATTTCACAGTTCTGGGGTAGCAGTAGAGATGGACTTGCTTTGAGCATGATGGAATCTGAAGCAGGACATTGCATCTCTTTTCAAACTCTGAGAATAATAATAATATTATTAAGTTGATTAATAATTTTATTGAAATCATTTAGAACATAAATCAGTTACACAGACAACAAAAACAGAACAAACCACGACCCTTGACCCCCCAAAGCAAAATAAACAAGACAGTAAAACAGAACCAAACAGCAACACAAAAAGTAAAAGAAAAAATTGTCACCTATATATACCATATTTTCATTCCAAATTCTTCTTTCTTGACTTCATCCTGTACCTGGTTTTCTATTTTCTCCTTCTAAACTGTCTCTTTTTTGAATTATTTTTATGATTTTTCCAAGTTAATCAAAACAAGACCAGGTATTTATTTGGGGGCACTGCTTTTTAAAATATTCTCTACATTTTCCCCATTCTTTCTGGAACTTTTGTTTGGGCTGTTATTTATTATTTATACCCCACCCATCTGGCTGGGTTTCCCCAGCCACTCTGGGCGGCTCCCTGCCAAATATTAAAAACACAATACAGCATTAAACATTAAAAACTTCCCTAAACAGGGCTGCCTTCAGATGTCTTTTAAAAGTAGGATAGAATCACATGAGAACAAGTGGTCCTCAGTGTGTCTGGGATCCATACCATTTAGGCACCTGAATTTGCCTTGGGACCATGACCGTAGTCAGGGTAGGTGCTTCAGCACTAGAGTTATGTGGTTACTGAAGTCCATACCTGATATCAGTTGAAATTGCTTCCAGTTGTGTGTCTTTCCTTTCTGAAAATATTCACTCCATTTTCTCTCTTTTCAAAAGGGTATTATTGACTACATCTTCTACTCTAAACCTCAGCTGAATATTCTTGGCATCCTGGGACCTTTGGATCACCATTGGCTAATAGAGAACAATATAAGTGGCTGTCCACACCCGCTCATTCCTTCTGACCACTTCTCACTTTTTGCACAACTGGAGCTGGTGCTGCCTTTCCTGCCCCCGGTAAATGGAATCCATCTGCCTAGCAGGAGGTAGTCAAGTACATTTTAGAGGGCAACCTCAGTCTGATTTGTAAAATTGTAAAATCTGAATATAGAGGAGTGAGGTATGGCCAACAGGGATCTTTCTTAATGATCTTAATTTTAAATCTAATTATTTCATAAAGAAATAGTAAAAGCCAGGTGCTATCAGACACACAATTCTGAGCCCAACATGCTTTATTTACTGTTAGACAGGGACTGGTGCGTTGGCACCTCTCTTAGATTTGTTACAATTAACCTGTTCTATCCAATGTAATATTTCATGCCTTGAAAATAGGGAATTACTATAATAAATTCTCTTCGCACAGATATCTGTAGCACTACTTTTTTGAGGCCAGTAGTAAAACATCAAAAGACCATTCTTCCATACTTCACTCCCTTCTTTTTCAGACTTGTTTGTTTGTAAAATATAGAATTTGAATTTAGCCTTTATTGATTGTATATGAACAACAGAAAACCTGATTTATGAGATTTTGTACTTTAAAAAAAAACAACCAGATTTGGAAAATGATTGTATTGTAAACTAAGGCTAAATTTTTATCTGTTTCATGTGTTATAAAGGCCAGCTTGTAAAAGAAGTTGCAGCAGGCTTTCTCTGCTAATGATTTGCACTGTTAGGGTTTTTAGCCCTTATGTACTACTTCATTTTTTAAAATTGAGAACACTGCTTTTAAATCTAAATTTGGTTAAATGATAACAAATTTCTTCAAGCCAGTTAACATACATTCATTTCTTTCTTTCTTTTAACTTAAAGCAACAGCGCAAACTTGTTCTCGGAACAGATAAGCTAAGCAGTGACTGATTAGGCTTTGTGGATTGATAGCCCTTATCGATATCTACATTCTAACCTTTTTCTGCCAGAAGTGGAAGGGCAGAATATTGTGTGAAAGCTTTTTAGTTTCTGTGTTAAGTCACTCGTTTCCTATCTCCACTGTGCCTGCTTCATTTTGTTCTCAATTAGCACTGCCTGTGCATGCAGAGAGAACCTGTGCATCCTCTTTTATTTTTTTAAAATAATGTTAACATTTTGTGAAAATTTTATGAAGATACTTTTGTATAAGCTGTGGCATCTATTTTTTTTTTCCTTTGCGAAGCGTTGAATATCACTTTTTGAACACGTTCAGATGGTGGGTACACAAATTCTAAGCTTCTGATACCCCTGCACTGCTTCTTTCAGTGTCATTGCACAATGCTGTTTGTTTGGTTTGTTCTCCCCTCTCCACTTAATACTATCATGTGAAGTCCCCTTTCAGTTGAAGCATCTTCCTCAGTCATTCCTCGGTCGTCATTCCTTGAAGTTAAAAGTATACAGTCTTCTGTTCTATGAAGCAGTGTAACTAGAGATGCATTTTCAGTACAGGTTCCCTAGACAACATTTCAGATCGAGCATTAAAGTGACCAAGTCCTATTCTTCAAAGTGTCAACAGAACCAAGGTTGTAGTATGCCCTCATAGTGCCATTAGTGTTTGAAAGCCAAGTATATATACGGTATATAGAAATATATATATATATATATAAAATCTGTCCATAAAAGGGAAATTCTATCTAATCCTTAGCAAACATACCTTCATTAATAAGTCTGTTTCTTATTTAGAGAGAGAACTTGGTCAAACTGCTTTTGTTTCAACTGCAGGCAGAGAAACAAAAGCTCTTTCTTGAATTGAGAAATTCTGAATATAATGAATTAAAAAATGGGTAATAATGATTGAAAATTTTATAAAGAAACTATAGGCACTTAGAAGTGCGCGACCATTTTGTTTTAAAGAATACAGTAAAATTGCAACAAGTTCATGTTTAGCAAACAAGCATTTAAAATTTTTTAGTAGGAAAAGTCCAGATCTTGAATCCTTGTCTAGGACCTGATTTTTCTTTTGTTACATGTTTTTTTAGTTGTGCAAACACCAAACATGTCCAGTTTATAATCAGTACATCGGAATGCTGGTAATAATTGATGTAGTAGATTCAATTAGTAATGTTGCTTTTTCTGTTCTTGTTTTTTGGGTTTGGGGGTTATTTTGTACAAGTGTGAATAAAAGGTGTTTTACTCATGTTTCCTTAACAATGTGTTGGTAATGTGCATCATGACAATTTTCAGTGGCAATGGAGCCAATTTAGCTTGTCATACTCAGCAACCTATTTTGTTTCCTGATTATCTGGATTATTTAATTGTATGTCCAGAAAGCTTTATGGAAGGGAAGCACTTATTCATTTTATATTCCTTAGAAGGGATTAATTTTTCCTTTTAAGCTGGAGCTTGAGTGCACTTGGTAAATCCTAAAGGTTTAAGCTTTACACATGCGTTTTCACCTTTCTTTGTTCAATCTTAAATATATATCTATCTATATGAATTTATGGCAGCACATTAAAAGGTTACAGCCCGTTCATGTACTCAAGGACTCTGTTCTTGCCTGGACATGTTGCAATCTATGGGCACTTGAAATTCCTTTTCCATGTTTGGCATAATAAGATTATTGAAGTATGAGAACTCAGAAAAATAAAGAAACCTGATCCCCCTTGACTTCAGTGAGCCTTTGGTCAGATCCCACAGTACTGAAGTGACACGCTGAGGAAATACTCTGCATCTCTGCAGAATAAGAAGTTGCACCTAATGTGTCTGGCAGTCAATATCAGAATAGTCATACTTTTAATACAGTTTTCTGCATCAAACAAATTCATACATTTCATAAATGAATGCAATAAACTATATGTGTTCACAAAATGCTAATTTCCAATAATCCTAACACTTATCTTACTTAAGGTGGCTTTGGATGTTGCCATAACAAATGTTCAGTGTTTCTTAATGTAATCACATTATTATTTTTTAAGGACGTAGAGCGTTGGTGGGCATGAGGATCCCTTTCCCCATTCCCCAGTTTAATCAAACTAGATGTCTGACTAGGGATGGTCACATATTGAAAAACCTAATACCTACAGCCTGCCCATTTCTGGATAAAAATGATCTTAAGGCGATAAAATCAATTATGGTGGAATTTAAGCAGGAAATATAAAATATATGGGATTCTCTATTTTAAAGACAGTGACAGAAAAAGCTCTAGGAAATGTGTGTAATTATTCTGTCCCTTTTTTTATTTGTGGGCTCAAGCCTCAATTGTAAAGTTAACCATTCAGGTTGCAAACTTGCATCTGAAAACTCTGATAAAGTTATTTGAATTCTGCTGTGGCTTAAATGTCTAAAAGTAGCTTCAGATGTCAAGTTCCCACTTTTATCTATGGGGCAAAGAATTCAAAGCCAAAATAATTGCACTAACATTTTCAGCAGAATTAATCGCACTGCAAATTTTTCAAGTCAAATTTACTACTGCTTATGTAGTGACTCTGTTTTTTCCCATCCAGCCTGACTCAGTGTTTTAGTATATGTTAACTCCTGCTATACTTTTTGGTTGTCTAAGCTTTTTTAAAATGTAGGTATCTTGGTATGCTTAAGTAGTATCTAAAAATTAGAATACCTAGTCTTTATTCACAGTACTTCTGTATAACGTGTAATGCACTGGACTAACTCTTGTTTACCATATGTGTAACAAAAAAACAAAAACAAAAACCAGCACATCATCTGCACTAAGCTCAAAGAATGTTGCATTTGTCTATAGGCAGCTCTTCAATAAGATAAATGGGAAGTTGAAAATGGTCTGATGGTAAACAAGGGCTTTTACTGTTCTCTTCAGTGGAACTTTCTTCTTGGTCAAATTTTAACTAGCTAGTATTATATTTATATACAGGGTTGTCTTTTTTTTCTTTACCAATGTATTTTCCTACTCATAGCTGACCAATAAATTCAATATCTGTTTCAAATTTCTTTTGAAGTCTAATTTACCTTTTTCACCTCCGCCTGTAAAACAGACAGGGCCGCTGGGTTTGCTGTTACATTAAGTGTTTAATTCCCGGTCCTGACTACAAAAAGAATAAGGCTGCAGATGGAAAGCAGCACATGTCCAGTCCTGAAGCAGAGATCTTTGTGCAGGCCTGTCCAGTTTCTTGGCCTCTAGGCTTTCCTTTTCTGTCTCAAAGAGAATTAAAAACTTTCTCAGGATCCTGGGTAAAGCCGATGGGCAGGACATGCAGGTTCCACTATCAGAACACAATGTGTTCCCAGGGAATTGTTCATTAGGCGAGCTTTCACATAACAAGCTGATGGTTTTCCATAATTTCCCATGAGAACATTTCTAATCTGTGATTTGTCTGATCTTGTTCCTTCTCTTCATGGTTTCCACCCAAAATGGCTGCCACTGGCCAGCAAAACACAAGTACGGAAGCGGGCAAACTCCATCTGTTCAGATATCTGAGTCAGCCATTCGTGTACAGTGGTACCTCAGGTTACATACGCTTCAGGTTACAGACTCCGCTAACCCAGAAATATTACTTCGGGTTAAGAACTTTGCTTCAGGATGAGAACAGAAATCGTGTTCTGGTGGCGCAGCAGCAGCAGGAGGCCCCATTAGCTAAAGTGGTGCTTCAGGTTAAGAACAGTTTCAGGTTAAGTACAGACCTCCGGAAAGAATTAAGTACTTAACCCAAGGTTCCATTGTAGTGAGGTTTGGGTATAAAATTGACATTTTGGATAACACTCGTTCTGATAGCAGGACCTGCAGGTATGCCACTAACAGTCAGGTGTGCTATTTAATGAACGTGTTACAATAAGGGAAGGCAGCTACTGGAAAGTAACTATCATGCATACCTCGGTAAAACCTATTCTAGTGTTCCAGTAAATGTTACAATGCAGTCTGGACTACTTTATCCTTTTACAAAACTAGGTTTCACTATCCAGAACCAAAGACCAGCGCTGCCGACATGATCTAATGCAGAGGTGGGGAACCTTTTTTCAACCTTAAGGCCACATTCCCTCATAAGCAACCTTCCAGGGGCTGCACCATTGGGGTGGGCGGGGCCAGAAGCAAAAGTGGGTGGAGCAACAAGTGCATGCATGCATTTCCAGAAACGAGTGTGTAGAAAAGGACCCCCCAGTTTTTTATGGGTGAAAGAGTACCTCTTGTGAAAGGGAAGGGCAAGTGTTGAAACATTTAGGAGGAAGACTGACGTTTTTTCAGTACCAAATAAGGCAAAGCAAGTACCAAGTATGTATAGGAACTGAATACAGTGGTACCTCGTGTTAAGAACTTGATTCGTTCTGGAGGTCTGTTCTTAACCTGAAACTGTTCATAATCTGAAGCACCACTTTAGCTAATGGGGACTCCTGCTGCTGCTGCTGCGCCGCCGGAGCATGATTTCTGTTCTCATCCTGAAGCAAAGTTCTTAACCCGAGGTAATATTTCTGGGTTAGTGGAGTCTGTAACCTGAAGCGTATGTAACCCGAGGTACCACTGTATTTTCTTCCTCTGTTGGAAGGCTATCATTCAAATTTCTCCAGGGGCCTATAGTGTGCATAATAGCACAAATATTATCCATAATGTAGGTGTGATTTCTACATAGGTGAAGCCCCTTTAAGAACATACAAGCAGCAAAGAAATGTTCCATCAATGTTGAAACTTACATATTTGCAGAGAACCTATATATTTATTCAGCTGCTCCAGTGTGGTGTTTGTGTTTCCTGCAGACAGGTTCTTCAATTTCAAATGGAGCAATAACTTCATATTTTACTTAGACTTTTCCTGCCCACATCCATCTCTCAGTGGCTTGAGGTCCCTGTTGCTTTAGTAGCTGAGTCTTTTCTTTTGCAGAACTTTCTTAAAAGGACTAGGGTTATTTCTAAATCTATGAAAATGGTGGTTCTTTTTTTTATCGCTACTTGAGTGTATAAGTGACATGAATTTTTCAAAAAAAATAATTATACTTGCTTTAGATGTTTAACAGAAAAAAACGCCCAACAGAAGTTATTTTAAAAGAAACATCTCTGTGCCAATATGAACCTTCTGAAAATGGTCTGGCAACAGCACACTAAGTACGTTGTGGTGTGTTAGCTGTGCAGTGAAGCACTCTCAGGACTCTTGTATCATGAGCCATCCCAAAAATTTGGGCACTTTTGGGTGCAAGAGAATCACAGTTTACTTACAACCTCAGTTACCAGTTTTGGCATTGGTGAAAGGGGGTTCCTTAGACTGGAAACTCTGGCTAGTTGACAAACCAGCTTCTGCAAGAAATGACTACAAACAGCTGCTGCAGGTCAGCCACAATACCTGAAATAGTTCCTGGTAGCTAAGCTTTAGGACATAAGAATGAAGAAGTGAAAATAGTCCAGTGGCAGCAAATGGTGTTTGCATGTCTTTTGTCCCAAGAGTGGGGAATCTGTGGACCTCCAAATGTTAATAGGCACTAACACCCATCAGCTCCCACCAGCATCACCAGTGGTTAGAGATGGTGGGAGTTGTGGTCCAGAAACATCTGGAAAGCCACAGGTTCTTTATCCTGCCTTTAGTGCCTAGCCCTCAGAAGGGTTCAGGTTTATATGAAATATCTTGCATATTTTTCTGCTTACTGGAGCTGGAGTCCCAACAACAGCTGAAGAACTACAGGTTCCCCAACCCTGCTGAAATACCACTTCTGTTAACATTTTGCAGCTGTGTTGCATTTCTGCTGTGCTCCACTCTTAGCTGGCAATTAGGAAAGCAATTTATTAGAATCAAACACAGCTGATCTCTGAGATCACCCAAACATTTAGATCTTTGTGGAAGGATGCAGCTGGCAGTGTGCAGAGCAAGGAGAAGAGGTGAGGTCCCACTTAACAATCATTTCTTAGGGAGGTATTCGCGTAAGAAGTCCACAATTTACACTGATTCCTATGGGAACATTTCTAATCAGCGTTATGTCCAATCTCCCTCCCTGCATGGTTTCTTCCCAAAGATGGCTGCTGCTGACCAACAAAGCATGAAGAAGGGAATGGGCCAACTCCAGCTGTTCAGATATCTGAATATGTGGTATGTACAGCAAGGTTTGGGCATAATTCTTTACGTTCGGATAACTGAATTTTTGCATAAAGAGTGGGCAGATAGCTGGACCTACATATAATATGGATCTTTACTGTTGATAATACCTTTCACTGCTTCAGACACCCTTACCTTTTAAGGTTCTTAAGCCATTTCAGATTTTGCACCTGTGTGCCCATTCCTCAGACCAAAAGGTGCAGCCAAAATTGTGCCCTCCAGAAGCTGTGGCACTCCAATTCCCACCAGCCCCAGCCAACATGGCCTGTGGTCAAGAATAATGCAAACTATAGTCCCACAAATTCAGGAGGGTACCTGAATCTAACCTTTTAGCATTATTCAGGCATTCTATCCCACACTGTGGCAAGCCCCGTGCGTCTAGCCCTTGTGTCACCATCGCCATTCCCACAGCTTTTTGCGTGTTAGGGACTGAGCCCCTGGAGCAGGGGGGCTTTTTATATACTCGTGCAGGGACCCAGCACAATTTAGAAAGCCTGACAGATCAGGGTTCTAAATTACACATGGAGCCTATGCAAAGAGAAACGGCTCCTTGCTCAAGTGGTACAGCCCCAGTGCATGATATGGAGGGCTGTGGGAGAGGCAACAATGACATGAAAGGAGAGGGGCTGTGGAGGGACCCCTGTTCTCCCTTGGTGTGCTACATTGCTGGGGGAGCCTTGTGGATTGCTGCCATCACATAGTAAGGAAGTTCATTGGTTGTATGGTGGAGTTACAGAAGCTTAGCTAGAACAGACACACCCCAAAAAAGGAAGGAAGCGTGTGTATGTATGTGAAAGTACAGATTCACAAGTGGTAGTGCAGGGATAAAAAAAAAAGTATTGTGGGGTACAGAGTGCGAAAAGAGAGCAATGTGGAGGTAACAGTGCAGAGCAACTTTTCAGGTGAGGAAAGGAAAGGGAAGAGAAGATTGTCTGAAATGCGAGAATGTAAGGAGATCTGTGGGTGAAGAAACCTGTACTGATGAAGATGGGGGTGGCGTGAGAATGCACTGGTTTAAATTAGTAACAAAAATGCTTTTCTGAACATAGTGGTGCAGCTCTCAATAAACATGTAATACTAATCCTCATAGTTCATTGTATACCTCTGAATAATAATAATAATAATAATAATAATAATAATATTTTTTATTATTTATACCCCGCCCATATATATTCCCCCCCCTCTCACACACACACAATGTGACACACCCACCCACACACCCCTGGAGTTCATGTATAACAATGAAATGGGATAGCTCAGTTAGAGCGTGGTGCTGACAATGTCAAGGCTGCAGGTTCAGTCCCGATAAGGGACAGCTGCATATTCTTGCACTGCAGCGGATTGGATTAGATGATCCTCGGGGTTCCTTCCAACACTCTGATTCTATGAGAACAAACTGGATTTGAATTTAGTTGTAACAACAGTAGAAGCAATTTTCCCTGTCTTGGGAGTCCAGCTGGTTCCATGAGATTGCCTTTCCCCATTTCCCTTTTCATTCTGTGCTTTCTGACAATAAGAGAAATGTGATTTTAATCACCACAGCAAAGAGAGCTTTTACACGTTTATTTGCATAAATTCTCAAAGCGCACACATCGTTATCAGGATCAAAATCCTACATATAGCACAGCAGATTTGTAGCTAGGCACTGACTTTTCACAAATCCTTTGATAGATGGTATACTGGGGGGAGGCTATACTTCAATGCAGAAGAGGCCTTGGCCAATCTGGTGCCCTCCAGATGTTTGGGACTACAACTCCCATCAGGCCCAGTTGGCATGGCCATGCTGCCAGAGACTGAGGGAAGCTGTAGTTCAGGTTGACCAAGGATGGCCTATAGGAATCCATTCATATAAGGGCTGTAATCTCCAAACAATAGACTGAAGAGCTTGGGTGTTCTGCAGAGCAAAAACTTGAGAACCACCATAGATGGGGAAAGAATATCAAACACAACAACTGCAAGTGGAATTCAACATCACACAAAACAGGGTATGCGGTGGTGGCTTCTGGCAAGATCTCACAAAGAGTTCCACGAGATCTCAGAGATCACGCTGGAAGCCACTGCCACATGATAAGCAATGCAGAAACTCATTTCACTAGCTTCCACTAGTGCAGTGGTGGCCAAACTTTTTTCAAAGAGGGCCAGATTTGATGACATGAAGGGCCGTGGGGGCCAACCAGAGGGCAAACCAAAGTTGTTGATGTTAAGGGTTTTTTTTAGGATTTTGCCCCAGGAAATAAACTGTCACAGGGGCCGGATTAAACTAACCGGTGGGCCAGATTAGGCCCCCAAAATGGACTTTGGACATGCCTGCACTAGTGCAACAAGTTGGTTAAATGCCGCTCTAAGTGTCTTAAATCCAATCTCAAGGATACAAAAAACCTTTCAGCATGGTCCAGGGGATGCTGGCTATGCATTTCATTTCACTTGCAAATCACTTTTGACATTGAAGGGATATTCAGAATCGGATTAAGATATGTGGGAGCAGGGAGACAGGAAGAGGTGCTTAAAAAAAGAGTAAAGCATACTTATAGAAGCACCTCTATTTAAAAGCTTCCTAGCTGCTTTGGATGGCTAGAGGACTCGACTTTTCTTTGTTTTCAGACAATTCCAGGAAGCTTAAAGGCCATCTTTGATTAACACTTTGGCTGCGTCCTTGTGCAAGATTTATATTGCTGCCCTGATTTACAAATGCATTTTCTGTGCTCTGTTGCCTGGCAGCTGAATGTGCAAACCCACGCCATGGTAAAGCAAAGTGGGTGTGTGAGATGATTGGGAACTTCTGATTGTGAGTATGCCCATACAAGCACACATGCAGTAACAAGTTTTTGATGTGGCACTCCTGCACGCACAAACTGCCCCACAGAAAGCTACTTCTAAGTAAGTGTGCAAGAATCGTAGCTGTGGGGCGGAAATTAAGGTGGCAATTTGTCCCACAGTTTTTGACATTATGGTACAGCAGAAAAATATAAGGGAATAGTCAAATCAGTCAAGCTGTACTCTTTTTTAAAAAAAAAAAGTAGCGATCTAGCTGTCAATTTGTCCCATATACACTTAACGGTTTTGTTTTCTAAAGCATTTTTCTTCCAGGGGGGTTTACATCCCAGCTCTAAAATCATGTTTATTTAGAAACCTCAGGGAGTGCGATGGAGCTTACTTCCCAGTAATGCATGTTTACTTGGAAGTGCGTCACACCAATTTCCATGGCACATACTCCTAATTAGCTTTGTGTAGGTTGAAGCTTTAGAGCATAACATTAATTTTATTTTTACCCTGCCTTCTGCTCACGACAGAATCCACAAGGCAGCTCACAAAGACATATGACACTGCGGAGAGTGACTTACGAGCTTTGTCCCACGTATGCTTATAGCAATTTGCATTTTTGGACCATGTAACTGATTTTGTTATCAGTTTTCGTTCCCCCAAAGGCTGCACAAGTTTGATTAGCAATAAACACCATGGAAATGTCTGTGCTTTTTCATTTCAGCTATTGATTGAACCGAAAGCATGAATGAGCACTGATTCTAGTTAGAACATTTTTGGTAAGCGCATTTCAATAATGACGATATAGTAAATTGCACGTTTGATGAGATGTCTCTTTTAAGCTTCTGAAATGTGCAATACAGTTAGCTTGCAATGTGCTATGCTCTTAGGAGTCTGACGATGACAGAAATCTATATATGTTACACGGGTCGCTGTAGATGGCACATGGCAAAAATATACAACTCATGTATAATCAACCCTTTGATTCACTGCACATTAAAACAGGAATGAATTGTCATTAGTAGCCTCATTAGAAACTGGGCCATGGAATTACAGGGCTTACTGAAATCAAGAGGTTTGCCAGTGGCTAAGCTGGAAAGGGACGCGGGTGGTGCTGTGGGTAAAACCTCAGCGCCTAGGACTTGCCGATCGCATGGTCGGCGGTTCGAATCCCCGCAGCGGGGTGCGCTCCCGTCGTTCGGTCCCAGCGCCTGCCAACCTAGCAGTTCGAAAGCACCCCCGGGTGCAAGTAGATAAATAGGGACCGCTTACCAGCGGGAAGGTAAACGGCGCTGGCTCGCCAGATGCAGCTTGTCACGCTGGCCACGTGACCCGGAAGTGTCTGCGGACAGCACTGGCTCCCGGCCTCTAGAGTGAGATGAGCGCACAACCCTAGAGTCTGTCAAGACTGGCCCGTACGGGCAGGGGTACCTTTACCTTTACCTTTTAAGCTGGAAAGAGAATCACCCTACATGATATTTGTAAGTGTGTGAATGTGTATAGGCACACACAAGTGGGTACTGCTTTCAAATGCTCCCTCTAGTTGAACAAAAAAACACCCCACCCTATCACATCAGGGAGAAAAGTTTAATTGCCAGCTATTTCCTTGCTGTCCTGGGTTTCTATTTGCAGAGAGATTGAAGACAAAACATAAGGGAGCCTTAAAAATATTTTTCCCCATCTGAAGTCTGAAGTGATTTAGTGCCCATTGTACCATAAGTATAAAGAGGGCAGCTAGCACAGCAATCCTATAATGTAAGTGCTATTGAGTTCTTCAGCTGGGTTTACTCCTAGTTAAGTGACTCTAGGATTGCAGACTATACCACTAAATATACTGGCAACTTTGTTCTTGGACTGAAGTGAGGTTTTATTTCCAGCTGACATCATGATTTTGCACTAATACTGGAGACAAGATTCCGACTTACCCCATTCACAATGGAGGCTTCCTTATCAATCAAGGCTGACATGACATGAATGTTCATATCACCTCTTCCAACACAACGAGGGATGGGTTTGTAAATGTTAATACCCCTCATATGTATAATGTTTAAAAATCAAGGTTTCTTGGAACAGCACACCAAATAAATGGCCTCTTTGGGCCACACTTAACAACAGCCAACTGCACAACATGGCAACTGCAGGGTTTCTCTTTGGTCCACTTCAAACATTGCAAAGTTAGTGGATAGATGACCTTATATCCAGCAACAAATCAAAGTGAGACACAGTTCTTGGCTTTCATACATGCCACATGCTAGTTCTGAGTCCACATTACATGTACATACTAGGAAGAGACAGAGAGAAATGTGTATCCAAGTTAGATGTAACCAAATTAACCAAAGGCCCATATCCCATACTTGCCAATGTGATAGCATGAGAAGCAGCCCTTTGAACAGTAATAGCTGGATACTGGACATAATCTAAAATTAATTGATAATAATGTTGATGCAGAAAGTAGTAGTGCAATATGCTGGGGGGGGGTGGCACACTGCCAGCTGGGTTGCAAATGCAAAATGGGTTTGTTTCTTTAAAAAACCCTAAATAACAACACTAGACAAGTAGCAAGAGAAGTTCAGATAAGTACTGGCAGCCTGACTTCCCTGTTCAGCTGATGCTAGAGGAAATGAGCAGTAACCTCCAGGCAAGTCTTGCTTGGTCCCTCCAAATTAGAGTGAAACAGAGTCACCAGCCTTCTGTTTACGGATTTTATATCAATAGACACAAGCTGCATTAAAACATCACTTTCCATGTAAGTGTAAAAAAAGAGGAAAAGGTTCTGGGAGCCACTTAGAGCTGGACACCAAAAGGTGTCAAGCACCAGCTTGTTTCTCTCCCTTGGACCAAACGACAGGTCGCCTCCTGCTCCTCTCTAAGAGAAACAGGAACTTTGCACTTCTGCTTCAATACAGTGAAGAAAGTACTGTGTTCCCCTACAGCTTATTCTAGACTAGAGTAACCAAAAGCCAAAAATAATGTTGCTTCATTACTATGCTTACAGAACAAATAAAAAGTATTTGTTTATATGACTTAGCAGATGTAACTTGGCAGAGGTGAAAAGGAGCTGGCTACAGGGTTGTTGGACCATTGTTCAGGAAGCAGCTGGGACCTGACTTCCTCCAAGGAAGTGGCAGCTGAACGGCAGGGCCAAAGCCCTATAAAAAGGACGGCAGGGAGGGAGAAATGACCAAGGCTAAGAGGAACAGGCAACAGGGAATGTTGAGTAGCTGACACTGCAACTTCTACATATGAGTATATAATCTACCTGGGAACCTGACGATCAAGGGAGACAACTTTTTCACACAGCAGATTAATTAAGTTGTGGGACTTGAAGCTACAATATGTGATTGTCGTAAATGGCTCTAAGGCGGGGTTAGACAAATTCACGGAGGATAAAGGTTTGTCAGTGGCCATTAGTCATGATGGCTATATCAAGCCTCCATTTTGAGAGGCAGCATGTTGTTTGAATAGCGTGGCACCAACAGGGTGGAGCCTGTGTTATACTGAGCCAGGCGATTGGTTCATCCCATTCAGGGTTGTCTACACTTATTGGCAGCAGCTCTCCAGGGTTTCAGGTAGGAGTCCTCCCAACTTTCCCTGGAGATGCTGGGGATTGAACCTGGGACTTGTAAGGTTCAATGCATGTAAGGCAGATGCTCAGCCACTGAGCTATGGACTTTGTGCCTTGCTTGGGGACTCCCCAGGTGGGTCAATGTGAGAAACAGGATGCTGGACTGAACAAACCTTTTGTTCTCGTCCAGCTGGCCTTTCCTTGTGTCCTTATGCCCTTATTAACTTAGGCCTTTGCTTCTAGGCCCTTCTGGACTAGTTTTCTATTTTGCATTGGTAGCGATGATACTAAAAATCCAGCAAGACTGAAGTTGCTCTTTGGGTGGGTAGATGAAGCCTATGTATTTCCACTCTGTTTACTAGATTAATTTTTAAAAAATGTTTGCACAGCTAATATTTCTGTGCAGGATCTGCACATGCAGAATTATAAAATTCTGCTGTCAAGAAATGCTTCTACAGAACTTTATAGATGAACTCTGAGCGCACTTAAGAGAGGAACTTAATTAGGATAGGGGGGATCATCTATTTCCACAGAGCCAAAGATACAAGGGGTTACAAAATGTATAATCATTACAACTCATTATCTGAATAGCTAAAATCACCGAGTCTGCAATGCATTCTCCTTTCAGCGCTGCAATTTCTTCTCCACACTTGACACTCTGAAGCTCTGAATGTTCTCCAGGTCATCTGGACAATGCACTTTGCAGCAGACAGAGGCTGCACATAAACACTCCGTCTTTTCTTCGCATAAAGTAGCAATTCATGATTCTGCAATGGCAGGCAGCAGGCAAGCTCTCACCTTTGCTTCTTTCCAAGCACTTTGGTATTCTGAAATCCAGTCACAGCTTGTGTTTCTTTTGTCAACGTGGAAGTATCCCACACAGCCTGCTCGGTTGCTCACCTCTCCCTTCACATTGTGATTATAAATGGAAGGCTTTGGCTGCTGCTCTCTTTCAGGGAAAGCTGCTGCCTTCAGAGTCTGCTGCCCCCTTTGTGAATATCTCAAAATCTTGGTGTCTGGTGGAGTTTCTCTGGGTGGGTGCAGCCAGATCGATTTACCATTAACAATGAGAGGGTCAGTCTCTTTCTGATATGGGCTACTTTCCAGAGTTGGCATCTTGCCTTGGTTTCTCAGACTTTTTAGCTCTGGGCAGCTGTTTTCTCTTTGCATTGGTCTTGGGGAGGGAAGTCTGGGGAAGCTGACAGCATCTGGTTTCTCCATAGCTTTTTCTCGAGGTTCAGATACACTGATGCCTTGAAAATTATGTTGTAAACGGTCAGTGTTCTCACTTCCATTAGGACATCTCCACCGATGAGTCCTCTCAGCTTCTGTGTATAACTCTTCTAGCGGGTCGACTTTAGAGCTCGAGTAGGTTTTGATATGATCTAGAATGGAGCTATTTCTTTCGAATGTCCTCACATTAGGCAGAATGTCAGTTATTTTATACCTGGAGACTATTTTTGGTGTCTCAGACAAGCTGAAGACCCTGTGACTATTATGCAGCGTTCCCAGTTTCTCTGTGTCTTGGACTTTACGCTGACTCTCTGGTAGGACTGGAAAGGTAGGTCTTGCCAGCTGGCAGATAGACTGAAGGTAGTCTTCACCAGAAGAAGAATCTGGACTCGTGCAAGCATTTCCAAAACCTTTTGTGTTGCTTGTTATGTCATCTAGAATTTCCTCAAGGGCTTCACTTATGGTGGGAAGAGGCTTTGCTATGTTCAGTCTTATCCGGGGAGCCATTACTGTAAAGAATATGCAGGATATAATTAGCCAATGGGAACGCACTACAAAGATGTTGCTGTAATGGTCACACTTTGTAAGCAAGCATCATAGCTTAATAAATGGAAAGTTTCTGCTGAAGCAGAATACGTTTGTGAAAATTATAAGTTGGTTTGCGTTTGCTGTGTGTGTTGTAGCTGGCAACATGCATGTTAGGTGAAAGGATCTTCTATAAAATGATAGGTGTTTGTGGATGATAGTGGGACAGGATAAATTTTATTGGTAGATTTTGTAGTTCTCTATGGGAGGAGTTTAGTATAGCTCTAAGGCAGGGGTCAGCAAACTTTTTCAGCAGGGGGCCAGTCCACTGTCCCTCAGACCTTGTGGGGGGTCAGACTATATTTTTTTGGGGGGGAATGAACGAATTCCTATGTCCCACAAATAACCCAGAGATGCATTTTAAATAAAAGCACACATTCTACTCATGTGAAAACACCAGGCAGGCCCCACAAATAACCCAGAAGTGCATTTTAAATAAAAGGGCACATTCTACTCATGTAAAAACACGCTGACTCCCAGACCGTCCGCGGGCCGGATTTAGAAGGCAATTGGGCTGGATCCGGCCCCCGGGCCCTAGTTTGCCTACCCATGCTCTAAGGTTATCACACTGTTGGTACAAGTTGTACAAGTTGGTACTTGCCTGATGGAAGAATCTCCCCTCTCCTCACCCTATGCGCTGTTCTGAGGGTTCTCCTCAGCCCCACGAGGCAACTGAAGGGGGAGCATGGAGGGAGGAGAGGGATGAAAGCCCTGTTGCATGGAAGCCTTTGTGGGCTTCTCCTAACTGGGCTGGTTAGTTGTAGCCAGCCGTGATAGGTTAGCCCAGAGTTTTCCAAACTTGGGTCTCTAGCTGTTTTTGGACTCCCATCATCTCTAGCTACCAGAAGCAGTGGTCAGGGATGGTGGGAATTGTAGCTGCAACAACAGCAGGAGACCCAAGTTTGGAAACACTGCTTAACCCTTGGACTGAATATAAATTTCCTGATATATAAGTGTTTATGCTTGTGGAGTGTTTTATATATTTTATTTTTTAAAATAGACATAGTTGATATTTTAAATAAGTATTTTATTTTTTCACTGTTTTGTTACTTGGTTGGGTGCCACCCTCAGCTCCTATGGGTGTGAGGGAGAATAGGATAGCAATTTGATAAATAACCAGACAGGGCAAAGCGATCCCATGAGATGCGGAAAATTTGAGGTGGAGGAACTACTAGATTCAGAATATTTGGACTGGGACGAGATGATGGTGTTTTTCTTTTCCCCTTTCCCCTTTCTGTGGTGTTTATTGGAGAATATGTTTATTTGAGAATAGGGACGCGGGTGACCGATCAGAAGGTCGGCGGTTCGAATCCCCACAATGGGGTGAGCTCCCATTGTTCGGTCCCTGCTCCTGCCTACCTAGCAGTTCGAAAGCACGTCGAAGTGCAAGTAGATAAATAGGTACCTATCGCTCCGGCGGGAAGGTAAACGGTGTTTCCGTGTGCTGCTCTGGTTCGCCAGAAGCGGCTTAGTCATGCTGGCCACATGACCCGGAAGCTGTACACTGGCTCCCTCGGCCAGTAAAGCGAGATGAGCGCCACAACCCCAGAGTCGTCTGTGACTGGACCTAACAGTCAGGGGTCCCTTTACCTGTGTTCCCCCCATGGGCTCTGTGGGGTGGGGATCCATACTCCAGTGGATCCAAATCTCCTGCACAGTGAAGGAGCAACAGGAGTGGGCCTTTCCACCCATAGAAAGGGAAACGCACAAATCATATCCCTTGCACTGCACCTCCCACCACAGTTTTAAAAGAGAGTAAGAGAACCATTATTGTTGAAAAACAGCATACAAATGTTGTTAACCAAATATTAGTAATAAACTATTTCCCTGGGTTAGTGTTTTCTTTCTAAAGCAATTTGTACCTCTGCCAAACTTTCGGTTTCCCCAAGCCTGCAATTATTGTTATTATAATTTATTAGATTTATATGCCACCCTTCATCTGAAGAGCACAGGGTGGTTTACAACATAAAACACATAACACATAACACCGCCACCATCAATACTCCCAACACATTTAAAATACTATAGATTGTTTAATCAGCCCAAGGCCTGGTTGAAGAGGTACCTAGCAATATGAATGAAGCCTCCTTGGAGAGAGCATTCCACAAATGGGGAGCCACCACAGAAAAGGCCCCTTCTTGTGTTGCCACCCTCTGGACCTCTAATGGTGGAGGCACACAGAGAGGACCTCAGAGGATGGTCACAGGGTCTGGGTCCATTCATATGGGGAGAGTTAGTCCTTGATGCATTGTGGTCCTGAGCCATTTAAGGTTTTACAGGTCAAAGCCGGCACTTTAAATTGGAGCCAGAAACTATTCAGTAGCAAATGCAGTTGGGCCAGGATTGGCGTAGTATGCTCAAACCATCTTGCCTCGGTGAGCAACCTGACTGCTGAATTCTGCACAAGCTGAAGTTTCCAAACTGTCTTCAGCAGCAGCCCCACATATAACACAGTGCACTAATCTAACCTAGAGGTTACCAGAGCATAGACCACATTGCCATTTTGGCTATATAGTTGAGTTTGCTGAATGATGAGGAAAAAGTGTGGGAGTAGGAGTTGGGGATAAATTCAGGAGCAAGGAGCCACAGAATATTGGATATGGCTACAAAGCAAATCTTAGCCAGGGTAATTGCAAAGAACCCTCAGCATTCTTACCAAACTACAATTCCCAAGATTCTTCCAGGAAATACAAGCCAGATTCAAACCAGTTTAAAAGCCTGGGGTAGTTCTACCTCAAAAGGATAATTCCTTTCTCCTTGATATGGGAAGGATATATGTCCCATAGCAGTTGCCCTGACTTCTATAACACTTTACTCAACAGCTCTCTAGACCTGCAACTAAACAACGAATAGCTCTTTCCATGTTTTCCTGTTTACTCACAGGGCCCAGGGGATATTGAATTCAGGTCACACACACACCATACATTTAAATCGCATAGCTTTTCCCAAAGGATCCTGGGAACTTTTTAAGAGGAATTGTAGTTCTGTCAGAAATTGCAGTTCTGTGAGAGGTGAACTACAGTTCCCAGGGTTCTTTGAGGGAAGTCATGTGCTTTAAAGGTACGGTGTGACAGCTTCATTGCTCTTCTTAAACTGCTATGTCTAGTCGCTTAAAAGGAAAACTTACTTTTTTTTAAGCTTTCCAGACACTTTCACTTTGGTAGTCCTTAAGAGGACTGCCGCAGGCAGTGGACTCTTGCCATTTAAATCTCCAGTTGAATCAAGAGAAAATGGAGGCATGTCTCTTTCTGCTCATTCTCCCCTTGGCCCTTTCCTAAGTCCCTCTCCTTCACCTGCTGTGGTGGTCAGGTTTCCTGATGCGCTACACTAACCTTTGCCAACCTGGTGCCCACCACGTTGTAGTTCCAAAAAGATGGGGGGCTCCAGGCTGAAGAAAGAGGGAGGTGGGCAGATGATAGGAAGATGGTGGGAACCAGCCCCAAGGAGTCGGTGAAGAAATGCAAAATGTAACAGTGGCAACTTGGTAAGAAAAAAAGGCAATAGAATTCAGTATTTACTCGCTGGGGTGGGAAAAGCTTACTTTAAAAGCGATTGTAGCATCTTAATCTCTCTCTTTTTCTCTGTGTTCCTCTTCCCTTTATTAACTCCCACAGTTGTGCAGTGCCTTTATTAGGAGTATCCAAAATGTCACAAATTACTAAGCTGTTGATTTCACTTGAAGGCTTCATCAGGCAAGATGCTGCACCAAGTGGGTGTTGGGGAAATGAGGCGGGAACAGGGGAGAAAGTCCTAGAATTAGGCTTGATGTCGTAGCCCCACGATGCATCGAAACCCCGATGTAACTGACCTTTTCACCTCAGGTCCTTGGCGCAGCGTAGTAGTACACTGGTAGTAAGCCTTGCTTACATCAGTAGGATTGGCAAACACACCAGATAAAGATCTCCCTGGCATTATTGCTCCCGTGGTCATTATGAACAGAGGTCACAATGTGGCTCCCTTCCTCCACCACTACTCCAGGCACCCTCTGGTTTTTCCTGCTTCCTTGGTCACAAAAATGGCAAGCTCTAAGCTGGCAACAGTGGCCTAATCCATACTTGTATATTTATCCCCCCCCCCAGCCCTGCCTCCTTTGAGCTCTAAATTCTCACCACAACATTCATTATGACCGACCACATTTTCTATTAGAATGCTCTTGCTCCCTTCTTACCTGACTGTTGTTTGTGGCAGCTACGGCTGGACTGTTTTGAAATCTCCAGGCTCAGCGTCTCTCTTCTGTGCTGTCTGTTCTCCTTGATTTCCAGGACTGAGTGTGTTGCTGTCTAAACCAAGGCTGCACATCAGGGTAGCAGCTTCCAGTCAGCTGATTCAGCTGCTTTTTGGCTGCCGCTGCTAAATATAGACTGGTAGATGCCACTCTGTTTCCCAAGCATTCTAATATGATAAGTGCCTCGTCTTACTGGAAGGGTAGAAAGCAGGGAATCTGGGCGGGGGCAGGGGGAGCACAACAGTTCAGAGATGATCTCCATGGCAAACAGAAGAGCACAAACTTGTGCTTTATTTTCTGAATTATTCAATAGGCCCAGGGCACTGGAAAAGGAGTGGCTATATGTGTTGTGCATTTGCATCCGTAGGAAGCAGTTAGCAGAGCATTAAACCAAATTCCAAGCTTCTGGCTCTTCTTTTGGTGTGGGAAGTGGAATTTATATTTTAAAAAGTGCATGTGGAGGCTATGGTTAACAGGAATTCTCTTTCTGCTTTCAAATCATCTGGGGTGACCAAATTCATCTCTGTATTCCAAAGCAGGGGTATGAAACCTGTGCCCCCCTCCCATATGTTGGCTGGCTAACTCCCAGCCAGCAGGGCCAATCATAGAATTGTAGAGTTGGAAGGGACCCCAATGGTCATCTAGGCCAACCCCCTGCAACGCAGGAATCTTTGGCCCAACATGGGGATTGAACCCAAGACCCTGAGATTAAGAGTCTCATGCTCTACTGACTGAGCTATCCCAGCTCCAATGACCAGGAATTGCAGTCTAGCAATATCTGGAGGGTCAGGTTCCCCACAGATAATAGAAAACAGTCTCTGTCTGTCTGCCTCTCTCTCTCTCTCTCTCTCTCTCTCTCTCTCTCTCTCTCACACACACACACACACACACAGTATGCCCCACCATTTAGAGATACTGTCTGTTTAGATGAAAAAATCCCTTCATGCTTTTCAGATGATACATTGCAATGTACATAATTTCAATCAGAATTAATTCCAGAAAGCTGGACAAGATGGGCCTTTGATCTGGTTCAGTCGGGCCCTTCTTAAGCTGCTATGAACTGTACCCTAAAATATGACTGAACATCTTTTCACATGGACCTTCCATAATATAGAAGAGGTTTCAGCTTGTGCCTTTTTGGACCTGTTTTGGCTGTGGTGTTTTACTGCATTTTCAAGATTTCCAAACTGGTAAAAATTAAAAACATTTAAAGAGGTCCTTTTTCACATCTAAGAAGAACAATGCATTTCCTCTAATATTCTCAAAAGGACAAATTTACAGAGGTTTTGTTAATATGCAAATTTGTGTACATTTATTTTATAAAAAGACAGAGGATGATTTGACAGCTCTAGTTATAGGTTTTATTGATCCATATACAGAAGTATGTTAATAATGCATTACATCAAGCAGAATGAAGCATTTTCTCTATATGGCTCTGCTGCTTTTAATTATTGATGACCTAAAAGCATTTTTAAATGTCTTTAGTGTCACATGCATATTTCAAAAGCACTCGTTCTGCGTCCAAAGCGTTCCTTTAATATAGCATAAAAGAGGCTTTTATTTACCTCTTAAGCCACTGTTTTTCTTCTGGTGTTTCTTCAGTTGGTTGTCAAAATCAGAGATGGAACCTTTGAAGAATCCCTTGTTTTTATAGTGCCTGAAGCTGAAGAATGTTTCAGTATTTATACCTTTAAAGGAATGTCATAAATCAGTAGGGGCCTGGAGGGAAGAGGGTGGCAGGGCAGTGCTGGCTCAGACAAGCAGATAACTAGTTAACAGACTGAAACCATGGGGTTGCCCTTTAACTTGTAGCTTTCTGGGTATTTGCTCCTGAGCCCAGCGCTGCGGGAGAAGAACACATTCTTGAAAGTGCCCAACATATCCTATGGACTAGAGAAAACTTGTGCATTACTGAAAAGCACTTAAGATACCCCACTGATACAGTGGTACCTCAGGTTACATACGCTTCAGGTTACATATGCTTCAGATTACAGACTCCGCTAACCCAGAAATAGTGCTTCAGGTTAAGAACTTTGCTTCAGGATGAGAACAGAAATCGTGCTCTGGCAGCACGGTGGCCCCATTAGCTAAAGTGGTCTTCAGGTTAAGAACAGTTTCAGGTTAAGTACGGACCTCCGGAACAAATTAAGTACTTCACCCGAGGTACCACTGTATTTCTTTTACTCCTTTCTTTCTGACATCTCTAGCCTTTCCCACCTTGCTAATGAAGCAGTATAATGAGTATAATCATGGGGGTAGGAATCCCTTCCAACTGTACAATTCTATGATTCTGTGAAATAGCAATGAACAGTAACAAAAGGACAAGTTGATCCAAAATGGTGGACAGCAATGTTAAAAACAGCAGCAGCAAAACAATTAAGAACAACAATATCCAAATGGGCAAGATACTTTTGTGGGCCTTTACCACTATAGCTTTCTATACCAGTGGTGGGAGCATGCTGGAGCCAGGAAAAATAGCACTGTATACATAACCTCAGTCCTTGAGGTGTAAGAGAACATTTTAGAGCTCAACAGTGTCATCTAATGGAGGATGGCGTAGAGAAAGAGAGACGAACCTCTGCCCTCCAGATGTTATTGAAACTCTCATACCACCCTCCTTGAGTCAACCCTGCTTTGCACCCCGTGCCCCCCTCCCCCCGCATGCACACATACACACACCACCCTGGGAAGTCTGGCTGTCTTGGGTTGAAGTCCAATAACCCCCTGCTCCCATTTGAAAACAGTTTCTCCCCCAGCCAAGCATTTCCCAAATCTGACCTAGATTCTTATGAGGCGTGGCTGAAATAGTTTGCTGGGCGCACATTCCAGATGTTCTGCATTCAGCCAGAAGTTCCAAAATTTGAGGCTAGAAAGCTGCAGGCCTGTCAGCCAGCAGGGGCATTTCAACTTCTATGGTGCTTTGAGGTTAAAGTACTTATTGTGGGATACGGCATTTCTGCTTCATTTCACCTATACTTGCTGCTTTCATTGGGAATTTACTTCTTTTGCTTGCTTTTTACAATTGCATTAACTGTCTCACTTCTTTTTAATTGCATGGTTAGACAGTATTGTGGTAACCTGCTTTTGGACTTCATGGTGAAGGTAATATAATAAATCTTTTAGATCGATGGATGCATAGATGTCATAGCTGTCAACTTTTCCCTTTTCTTGCGAGGAATCCTATTCGGAATAAGGGAATTTCCCTTTAAAAAAGGGAAACGTTGACATCTATGATAGATGTGCATGTGTACATCTATCCCAAAAAGGAGGCGGATGTTCTAAGATGAACTGTATATAAGTTTGAGAGGCCACACTGGTCTGACTGCAAAAAAAATAAAAATTGCTGCAGATTACATGATCCTGCCAGAGCATTTAACGGAAATGTTGCTAAGACACTGATAGCTTCACATCCCACACAAATGCAGGTTGAGGCATGCTGAACTATCGCCCAACTCAAAAACATTAGGAGAGAACAGGGGGCAGGGGGTGCTGCTTCTCCGATCTGTTATTCCAAGCTTGGCTGAAAGCTCAGAATGTGCAATTTCTTCAAGTGGCATTCTTTAAACTGGGGGTGGGAGGTCAAGAAACCCTGTGTGGTTGTTACTAAGACATTTTCAGAGACATTTTAACTGGGTGTTCATTGTCCACTCGCCATGAGGCCATTGCTCTGAGGTTGCATTGCAGGAAGCAGATAGGAGGGGAAAGATCCAGAGCTCTCCACTACCAAGAGCTGTTGAATACACCTACACAGGTCGCACCAGTCCCTCCTGCTAGGGGAAGAGGCAGAGAAGTCAAGCCGGAAGCATGAGAGGAGCATAGGGCAGAGTGAAAGTGAGAAGCCCTTCTCTAACTCTCATGCTTGCTCCACCCAAAGAAGCAGCAGCAGCAGCTTAGGCAGACAACCATGGAGGGGCAAGGAAGGACAGGTCCATGTGACAGGAGCTTCCAGTGCCTATAGAGTGGTACCTCAGGTTACATACACTTCAGGTTACAGACTCCGCTAACCCAGAAATAGTGCTTCAGGTTAAGAACTTTGCTTCAGGATGAGAACAGAAATCGGGCTCTGGCGGTGCGGCAGCAGCAGGAGGCCCCATTAGCTAAAGTGGTGCTTCAGGTTAAGAACAGTTTCAGGTTAAGAACGGACCTCCGGAACGAATTAAGTACTTAACCTGAGGTACCACTGTACTAGCTGGGTCCTTAAATCGAAACACCATTCTTGCTGTTCTGCCACCTAGGGGCACCTACCTAAATTAATTGAATCACGCTTGGAAGCAGAACCAGAGGGAGGAAGCCAAACTACTAGTGGCAGCAGCCTCTTTAAGGAGTAGCAACACCCCATGCTTGGCAAATGGGATAAGCCTCTTCTGGTAGGCAGTTCCAACAGGCCGCAGTATGGGTGGGCACTACACATACAGCCCACCCCCACCCCACGCACACACTACATAAGAAAATAATAATACAGTCGTACCTTGGAAGTCGAACGGAATCCGTTCCGGAAGTCCGTTTGACTTCCAAAATGTTCGGAAACCAAAGCGTGGCTTCTGATTGGCTGCGGGAAACTCCTGCAGCCAATCGGAAGCTGCGGAAGCCCAGTTGGACGTTCGGCTTCTGAAAGAACGTTTGAAAACCAGAACACTCACTTCCGGGTTTCGATCATGCGGGAGCCAATTTGTTCGGGAGGCAAGACGTTCAAGACCCAAGGTATGAATGTGGTGTGTTGTATCAGGCCAGTGGTCCATCTGCTCCAGCATCCTGTTCTGGCAGTGCCGAACGAGATGCCTGTGGGAAAATGGCAAGCAGGACCCAAGTACAAGAGCACTCTTGCCTCCTGTGGTTTCCATCAACTGGCGCTCGAAAGCATTGCTGCCCCCGATGTATGGAGGTAGAGGTTAGCCATCTTGACTAGCAGCCATTGATATCCTTCTCCTCCGTGAATTTGTCTAATCCTCTTTTAAAGCCATCCAAGCTGCCTCCTGGGGGAGGGAGTTCCATTGTTTGCCTGTGTACTGCATGAAGAAGCATTTTCTTTAATCTGTCCTAAATCTTCCAATATTCAGCTTCGTTACATGTCCATGAGTACTAGTGTCATGAGAGATGGAGAAAAAAAATACTTTTCTCTATCCACTTTCTCCAGGCCTTGCATCATTTTATAGACTTTTATCATGCCCCCTCTTACCTTTTCTCCAAACTAAAAACAAAACCCAAACGCTGCAACCTTCCTTCATCGGGGAGTCCTGCCATCCCCTTGATCATTTTGGCTGCCCTTTTCTGAGTCTTTTGCCATTCAACAATATCCTTTTTGAAGTAAGGCGACCAGAACTGTACACAATATTCCAAATGCAGCCTTGCCATAGATTTGTTCAACGGCATTGTAATAATTAGCAGTTTCATTCTCAATTCTGTTCATAGCTGTCAACGTTTCCCATTTTTTAAGGGAAATTCCCTTATTCAGAATAGGATTCCTCGCAAGAAAAGGGAAAAGTTGACAGCTATGATTCTCTTCCAAAGGCTTCCTAGAATCTGCCTTTTTCATGGCTGCCGCACACTGGGTCAACATCTTCACTTAATCTACTGAAGGCAGCCGTCATTCCAGGATGAGCACAGCATTTCCATCTGCTCCTTGAATCTCTAAGTACAGTGGTACCTCGGGTTACATACGCTTCAGGTTACAGACGCTTCAGGTTATAGACTCCGCTAACCCAGAAATAGTACCTCGGGTTAAGAACTTTACCTCAGGATAAGAACAGAAATCGTGTGGTGGCAGCAGGAGGCCCCATTAGCTAAAGTGGTACCTCAGGTTAAGAACAGTTTCAGGTTAAGAACGGACCTCCAGAACGAATTAAGTTCTTAACGAGAGGTACCACTGTATGTCCTGAACAGGAGAATGGAATGGACCATGGTAAAATTTCCGATTCAGGGAGATACAGGTACTGTATTCAAAGGAGGCTATCACTTAACTAATTAGAGAACACTTAACTTCCACCTAGTGGGGGGAGGAGAGGAGCAATGAAAAATTAAAACGTGGCCTGTTCCCTGCTGTTTATCTAAAAATCTTTGTGGACAGCAATCCTGTACCCACTTAGCTAGGAGTAAGCCATATTGAATGCAGTGGAGCTTCTGAGTAGACATGCATTGGATCACATTGCTAATGCAATTTTTGTTGTGCATAAAAACATAAGTTTAAACAAACCAAGCAGTTGCTGAGAGATATATTAGAAATATATTTTAAACATATATTTAAAAACCAAACAACTGACAAGAGATCAACACAGGATGACCATGGACGGCCTTCACATTTATATTGCATATTAAAAGGAGACAGAGCTGGTGGATAGCATTTGCCTTATCTAATTATATTTACATAGCCTATTAGCCTGTTGTGCTTTATGAGTGATAGATACTCTGGTATGTACCAAAGACAATTGCTGGGAAGCATTAATGAGCGAGTGGGTATTGGCTAGACAGGGCTGGTTTTGCCAGCCATCATCCAGGACTCATTCAGAGCTCTCTGCTAATTACTGAAGTAGCACACCTGTAAAGTCACCAGAGACCCAGATAGATAACCTGGAGGAAAATAACACAAAGGCCATTCTTTTTAAAGAAGCACAATGGAAAATGTTGTTTCAAAAGCTCATGTTTAGCTGGAACTGTTGAGTTCTCTTGTAAGTGGAAAAACAATTTTTTAATGAGAAATTGAGGCAACGGGTAATCTTGCAGGCTGACTTTGAATTTCCATGTGTTGATTATTTAAATCATGTGTCTTTTAGTAAACATGAGTAAAAAATAGCAGCCAGTTGCCTTGCAGTATTGCTCTGCCATTTCAGAAACTACATCTTTTATAGTTATATTTACAGACCTTTCCATAAAAACGTCCAAGGCGCGCACACACACACACACACACACACACACACGATCTAAATGTTTCTGCTTCCTCCTTTTTCTTTAGTGTGGTGTTCTTCCCTTGTGGTCCCACTAGTCTCACCATCCAAATCTGGTGCGTGATACTGGAGGGAAGCTTTTCTTATTCCTGCCAATAGAAGCTTCTCTCCTGGGGCCAATGCCAGGTTGCTGTAGGTGTGGCAGGACGAAAGTGCACAGGAGATGGTTAAACCCACCATCCTTGTGTGCTCCAGTCCAGATCTAACCCCCTCAACCCATACAGCTGTTGCTGTTAAAGAAAAAAGCAGACAGAGACCCCTTAGTGTGGGTGTAGCACGAAGGGGCAGGCTGCTCCTACTACTTTTCTCTCTCTCTCAGATATCTGTTCTGGCCTTTATAAATGTGTCAGAGTGAGTAGGACTCAAGCTAAGAGTCAGTACAGTGGTACCTCGGGTTACATACGCTTCAGGTAACATACGCTTCAGGTTACAGACTCCGCTAACCCAGAAATATTACCTCGGGTTAAGAACTTTGCTTCAGGATGAGAACAGAAATCATGCTCCGGCGGTGCAGCAGCAGCAGGAGGCCCCATTAGCTAAAGTGGTGCTTCAGGTTAAGAACAGTTTCAAGTTAAGAACGGACCTCCGGAATGAATTAAGTACGTAACCAGAGGTACCACTGTATCTCCTGTTTAGTAAAAAAAAAGGGGGGGAAGTAACCAATACTATCTCCTTGTGCTCAAAAAACCCAGCCCCCTTCAAAAGCCACAGGAGTCTAATAATGAAGTGATTCTTTCCCATCTATTCCCTCATTTGCTTTCATGTGCCGACATCTAGTGGCTGATGGGCTATAAAGTGTCCATTATCTGAAGCTCTTTCTTATGCTGCAGAACTGATGCCCACGGTGACGGTGGTGTTGTTTTTACAGATCAATGTCTGTGTGTTTTGGTTTTTTTCAGTGATTTTGGTATGTCCAGTTTATAGTTCTCTGTGTAGCAAAGTCTAGGAGGATAACCTGGTAAACTGCAAGCCTTCATTTGAACCAAGCTGGGTGTTTCTGCAATGCAGAAGAGAAACATGTTCTTTGCCTACAGGGCTTAGAGTTTAAGACTGTGGCTATGTGCCTGTCTAAGCTGTTTCAAGTTGCCTCCCTGGCTGTCGGCAGGTTTGTAGCCTGATCCATACATTAGGGGGTGTTATTGGGTTGTTGCTTTTATTTTGATTATATATTTTGTCATTTTATCTATTGATTTTGTTCTGTGAACTGCCCTGAGACCTCTGGGTATAGGGTGCTATATAAATTCAATAAATAATAATAGTGCTTTTTTCTAGGGGTACGCAGGGGTATGCATACCCCTAAACATTTTGTGAATCTAAGTTTGGCCTCATTGAGGGATCGTATTTCAATATGAGTAGGAAAATGGGAGTACCCCCAAACATTTCTTTTTTAGAAAAAAAGCACTGATAATAATAATAATCTGAATGCCCTGGGAGCCTGCTCTGTGTGACTGCTGCTCCTCTCACTCACTTTTGTCTGAAATCACACGTCTGGGCAATTGGTACAGATAGTATTTAATGACTTGTCTGATTTGTAATCAATATTATTTAGTGGCTTTGTGTTGCTGAATAACTTTGTCATTGTGGAATGAGTCGATTACATTCAGGTTTCACTTCCTCCCCTTTTCCTTTTTATTGATTGACCCTCATAGGAAAATAGGGAGCTGCTTGTCAGCCCAACAGTCCGTCTTGTGCAATATTGTCTGCACTGAGTAGCAGCGACTCTCCAGGACTGGATTTCAGACAAAGTCCTCACCCAGTACAACATTGAGATGCCAGAAACTGAACCTGGAACTGTCAGCATGCAAAGCAGATGCTATCCCACTGAGCCACGAACCCATAGTTCCTTTAGATTATAAATTTATGGGTGGAGCCTTTGTTTTTGTTTTAATTAAAGATTTTCTTGGTTTACTAAAGTATGTGCCATCTCTCTCTCTTTTTTTCAAGTAACATTTTTTACAGATCAGTTTCATTTGTTGAGACCTTAGGAAGGAAAGGGGGAAAGAGGTGGACAGGGAAAAGGTGAGTAGGGGTGGGGTTGGGTGGCGATGTTTCTATTTTACTTAATGTATGTGTGGGGTTTGGTGTCAGCGTCGCTCGTGCAGGTTCTCTGCTGTTCACTTGTGTTTCTTTGGTGGTGAGAGAGGTTGGGGTTGGCCTAGGGTGTGGTTGTTTGTTTGTGATTGGCTGTGGTGAACTTTGTTTTCATGTGTGAGTGGGGTGGGTGGATGTTTTGGATCAGGTTAGCCATGTGGTTAGCCTGTGTCAGTTTATTGGTTAATTTTTCTAGTAAGGCTGTTTCCCATACTATTTGGTACCATTGGTCCATGCTTACTCATGACAGGTCTGGGCGGGGCCTTTGTTATGTTTAATTTTCATTCAGCACCTAGCAGTTACAGACACTATATATGAATAAATATATTAATGCACATGCTATGGGCTGATTATCTGCTGGTGTATAGCTTTTGCAGCAGATTCCCAAGGCATTTGGGGTAAGGCCTTTAATCTCACAGGTAAAAAAAAGAACCCTGTGGAAGGGTCCTCACAGGGTGCAAGACAGTGCTGCTTCTCCACCCCATTCTCTGTTCATGTACACAGGCAATGCAGTGGGCTTTCTGAGGGCATGCCCTCTTCCTCCACTTGGTCAACAACAGCATCAGAGGGCAATTGCCCTCGTATTCTGTTTCTGGGCTTCTCTTAGGCATCTGGCTGTTTTTGAAGCAGGACATCCAAAATAGAAAAATATACCAGATATTTTATTTGATTCATTTATTTGCTTTGTAATTGTACCCAAAGCTGGCTTAATAGTATGGCTGGTCTGTTTTCCTCCATATCTGTGTGACGTATGTAGGAGCAGCAGTTTATAACAGGATATTCCCAATGTTTTGGATTGTGAAGACCATGGATTGGATTGGCAGACAGGCAATGGCCAAGACACTGTATACTTGGCATACAGGCAATGGGAACTTACATGCTGTTACCTGTACCCCCACAGAATGGGAGCTGTTGTGATGGTTATTTCAGCAATGCCACATGCCAATTATATCATGTGCCAACCAGCCTCGGGTCCTAGCTTGGGCAACGTTCTTTAATGGGCTTAGTCCAGAGTCCCTTTGCATAACTAGATAGGACCCGTCTCTTACTGTCAGATTACTTTTACTGTCAGCTAAAAAATGAATAATAAGAAGTTTTGACTTGTTGCCATCAGGTGCCTACTCTGCCCTTCAAAGGATCAGAGGCGGAACTCAAGGGAGAAGCTTAGTACGGCAAAACAGCTTTATACTTTCAAAATGGGGTTTCTAGATTTCCCTAGCTCAGCAATTTTTGTGAAACAGTAGCGGTGAAGCTGTGGGTTTAATTTATGGAGCCAAGGTGGTCAGAAGGAACAAAGTTCACTTATTGCTTGCCAATATGCCCTCCATGAAACACTCACAATTTGCGGTTACTGCAGGATACAATATGACAATAGGAAGAAAAGACAGGATTTGTCCTCTTTGGCACTAATGTTTTATGTTAATGCATCATTTGTTTCTGCTGTCAAAAACAGAACCTATTTTTCTTTCATAATGTTCCTTCGGCCAGGAGGTAGGACAACAGAATACAGGAAATGTATTCTGCAAGAAACTTAACTTCTGATTGTAGCTAGGAATTGCCTGCAAGGACGCGGGTGGCGCTGTAGGTTAAACCACAGAGCCTAGGGCTTCCTGATCAGAAGGTTGGCGGTTCGAATCCCCGTGATGGGGTGAGCTCCCGTTGGTCGGTCCCAGCTCCTGCCAGCCTAGCAGTTCAAAAGCACGTAAAAGTGAAAGTAGATAAATAGGTACTGCTCCGGCAGGAAGGTAAACGGCGTTTCGGTGCGCTGCTCTGGTTCGCCAGAAGTGGCTTAGTCATGCTGGCCACATGACCTGGAAGCTGTACGCTGGCTCCCTCGGCCAATAAAGCGAGATGAGCGCCGCAACCCCAGAGTCGGCCACGACTGGACCTAATGGTCAGGGGTCCCTTTACCTTTATCTCAGCATTTGCTGAGGTATGCTGATGCCTGTGTTGCTGATGCCTGCAAGATGGGTGCACGGAGATATTAGCTAGCAACGTATAGAATCAAAAGCACTTTCATAAGGCAGTCCATCTATGTCGGATGGATATAATGCTAATTAAATGCCAAGGATGGCATAACTGCAAAAATGTGGCATAAGTGAAGGTTATGGGCTTAAGCAAAATGAGGCCTAATGAGTCAGTTGGCTGTTACAAAAGGACAGCTATGATCATCTTTAGTAGATTAACCTTTTCAGCTAATGCTAAGTCACAGTTAATCATGAGCTTTATGCAGGTTTGTCTGAGCGAGGGCCATTTGTATGCGCAAACTCTTGCAAACTCTTGAATGAACTATCAGTCTACTAGGGAAACAGTACATTTTATTTATGCCCCAGAGCCACATCTCTTTTCTGATGTGCCACACAGATGCATGTCACACCAGTTGGGTTTCTGCCAGGGTATAAATATGGACTGTGGGCAACTACAGTTTTTCCTTTGGAGACTTCTTCTTGCTACTGTCCTGGAGACACTGTCTGCCTGCTTCTGTCTTTCTATGGTGTCTTCAAGCAGTGATTTCTACCCCTTTGAGAGCTTGTCCATATTCCTCTTAGTGGGGTTGGAGGACATGAGACTGGCAATTACGTTTGTCTTTAAGCAAAAGCCTAAGTAGCAGTGAAGCACATCATCCCATGGGGCCAATTGGAGCACTCTCCTGAGGGCAAGAGCTTTGCATATGTATGGGCTGAAAGCCAACTTGACACAAGACCAATTTCAGGTAAGAACTTTGATGAGGGAAGTACCCTAGATGGGTTAAAGAAGGCAGATCTTCTGTTTTTATCATCACCAGAGGAGGTGTTCAAGGAAGATTTACCGTATTTTTTGCACCATAACACTCACTTTTTTCCTCCTAGAAAGTAAGGGCAAATGTCCGTGTGTGTTATGGAGCGAATGCCTACGGGTGGCGGGGGGGGGGGGATCTGCTGCAGTCGTGAGCAGAGGATCCATGGTTCCCCTTCCTTCCCTCCTCCGTGGCTCGCTTTGAAACAGCAATGTGGGAGAGGAGCCACTTACACCTGTCTGGTTGGCTGCTTTAAACCGTGCTCTCTGTTCCTCTCTCCTCCCCACTCAGCTTGCTAAATAGCAGCAAAGCTTTTCAGCTTTCTAATCTGGGGAGGAGGGAGAGAAGCAGAGCTTGCTTGTTTTAAAGGAGCAAAGCGGGAGAGGAGAGGAGCCTTCTCCCCTTATACTCCTCTTCTGCATTATTAGCAGCATCCTTCTCCACACACCCCACGCGTGCTCCTTGTCCCTTGAGTGCTTTTCCTTCCCTCTCCACTTAAAATGTGGTTACAAAGCACGGATCCACATGGATCCTCAGGATTTTTGCATTGGGCTACCCCAAACTCACTGTCAGATCACATGTCTGTGGCCACAGCATGAACCACAAAAATCATACATCCACTGTTTCGTTTAGAATATTTTTTTTCTTGTTTTCCTCCTCTAAAAACTATGTGCGTGTTATGGTCAGGTGCGTGTTATAGAGCGAAAAATACGGTAACTAATGCCCTCTGAGACAGGGAGAAAGAAAGGCTTTATTTCCAGGTGCACTGCACAGTGCTTATGTGAGGCAACCGGAGTGCTGTGGAAGTGAGAAAATAATATAGGTGAATCTCTTCCAGATCTAAGAGCATAGAGCTGCTGTTGTTCTGAATTAGATGATAACTCTGGAAGTAATGGATATTCCTTCCCTCCCCCCCCCCAACTTTCAGATGAACACTGCAGAGGCAGAAATTGGGTTAAGAGTCACAGTTCTATTAACTAAAACAAGTAGGACCTAAAATGAGCAGAAGCACAAGGTCAAAGTGTGGACCGTCTCTCACTTGAGGGAATGGGGAGGGGGCAGAGAGATCCTGCAGCCTCCTGCTGGACAATACCTAGGCTGTGGATAAAATATCCACTGACACGTATCTTTCAGCCCTCTGGAGCCAAAGGGTCCCTATCTGTTCTACCCAACCCCTACTGACCAGCAGTTGCTTGCCACCTTGGCCTCCTTTGGGAAGAAGGGTGGGCTGTGTATGACATTCATCCTCAGCTAGCACGGCCAATAGTCAGGAATGATGGGAGTTGTAGTCTATTGACTTCTTGGGAACAAGACATTTCTCACCCCTGATGTACACCGTATATCATTGGACTCTTCTGCTTTCATGGGAGATGGTTGTATATTTTATTTTGTTAGAGGACAGGCAGGATTTCAAGGTTTCAGAGCTTATTGTCAAGCTGAGTGTGGAAGTTGAAGCTGCTTTGAAGTGTTCTGCCACTAGCACAGCATCCTTTCAAATAAACAGGGCCTCCACATATCTTATTGCTAAGCAGTGCACACTGGGGTTTTTTTTTAAGTTGTCAAGTCCTGCCCCAGATAATGTGCCAGTGATTTAAATGCTCTGCATTGCCTGTCCTATTCCTCCATCACCCTCATACCTTCTTGCCACAGTGAAGTATCTGTCAGAGACTGGCTGGATGAAGAGGAGTGGTGGAAGGCACTAGCTGGGGAACCCTCTAGAGAAGTCCCAGAGGAAGAAGTCCTAGAGCCAGGAGACTGCATTGCAGGGGGTTGGACTAGATGACCCTTGGGTCCCTTACAATTCTAAGATTCTATGATTCTATGGTGGTGGAACACTGAAGACATGTCAGAGAGGGTGCAGGGGGGATGAATGGAGGCTGAAGAGACAACAGGCTTTAGTGTTGCAGTTTGAAAAAGGTTAAGCCCCCTGCCTATTGCATGGTAGTAGGAGCACGGATTGAGTAA